ACTTAAAAATTTGATATTGAAAATATTTTAATCATATTTTACAACTACACACACTATAAATATATAAATGCAAAATAATTCCGTAAATAAATTTCAAGTAATAAATCAATTGCACACATGCACACAGCTGGTATGTAGATTTTTATTAAATTTATTTTTAAATTTATTTTCTGAATTATTTTACACTTATATATATAGTGTATGTAGTAAAAATATTTTCAATATATTAAAAAATTTTTAAATCGCCGAAATATATTTTTTTATCATTTTTCTATATTTTATATATATATATATATATATATATATATATATATATATATTATAAAAAATTGATATTGAAATATTTGAACTCTAATTTACTGGATGATATACTGAACATCCTTGCATTGATTATACATTACTCAACGTTCTTTCACGTTATAAGTATTTGGAGCAAATGATACAATAGCATCAATAATCAAAAAGAAATCAAGAATAATCAACATATCCCTTATATAATATATATATATATATATATATATATATATATATATATATATATATATATATATATATATATATATATATATATATATATATATATACGCACATATGTGCATAAGCATATATAAAATTTACAAAAAGTAGGTACTTATTAGCCTTGCTACGCTACTGCCTTCTGCTACGGAAGGCCAGAAAGCATTTTCAGGCCGTATCTCGCGAATACCGGCACGATAGAGGAACAAGGAGAACACGTAATTATCGGTCCTTGTCTCTCTACGGTGCGTCCGCGTGAGCAATGCAATAGTGTATGTACGTGTACAGACATGCACCACTACATAAAACCCGAGAATTGGTTTCTCGGCGTTGGCAACACTGAAATCGGAGTTTCGCGTTGTCACCGCGCGAGGTCTCCAACATCAATTCGGAGTTTGGCCGGCCGACCTGTCGACCCTTAATTGTCTCATTTTTTAGTAGACAAAATTTTCGATTGTGACCAATAATACAAAAATACATTGCTTTTTTTGATATCCGTCGCGAGAAAGAGAGAAAGAGAGAATAAAAAAAAATTTTACAATTCTTTCTTCAATGTCTTCAATGTTGTTAATTTAACCTAATGTCTATCTCCTACGTCATCTATCTCCAGCTAGTAATTTTTAGTAACCTACAGGGTCTATATATATATATACATTTTTTATTTTACTAGCTGAAACACATAAGGTTTGTTCGCGTCGCATGCCCCACTTGCTCCTTTTTACTTCAATGCGCTCGTATTTGTTCAATTCGAGGAGCGCACTAATCCTATGAAAAATGTTGTGTTTCTCGCTTTATGCTTACGCTTATGCGCCTATGCAAAAGTGTGCGCTCTCCGCTTTACTAATCTTTGCTTTCACTATAACAGAAGAAGAGATTATGGGTGCTTTCCAGCAATGACACAATACGACACAGTGTATCATTCTATCATTTACTGGTATTGAAAGAAGATAGAATGATACACTGTGTCGTATTGTGTCATTGCTGGAAAGCACCCATAATCTCTTCTTTTGTTTATAGTGAAAGCAAAGATTAATAAAGCGGAGAGCACACACTTTTGCATAGGCGCATAAAGCGAGGAACACAACATTTTTCATAAGCGTATTAGCGTAAACATAAAAATCTTGATTGATCTATGAACGTATGCATAAGAAATTCAACCAATCGAATTTCTTAGAGCCATTCTACAATAGGTTGCAAATATCCTCGTTGCTAGTTGATAGTTGTGGATTAACCAATCACTGACAAGTTGCTTTACTTTCATTGGTCAAGCGGCAATTGTCACTAGCAACGAGGATATTTGCAACCTATTGTAGAATGGCTCTTATGCATATGCTTATGCGCTTATGCAAGAGTATGTGCTCCCCGCTTAAGAATCTTGATTGGTCTATAACGTATGCATAAGAAATTCGATTGGTTGAATTTCTTATGCATATGCTTATGCGCTTATGCAAAAGTGTGCGCTAAAGCGGGGGGTGGGGGATCCGTAATTCCAGGCCGGCCGATAGGTGTCTCTACCAGGCCTCCTGCCGACCCTTAATGCATCAACAAATATTACTTTAATAAAAGGATAGCATCAAACCGCAATGAATAATGATTTCCCGTTATTTGATTTAAGCGAGAATATAATTGTTCAATATATATATATATATATATATATATATATATATTATAAATAATATAATAATATTTAAATATAAATATATAAATATTTACATAATATTATATATATTTTGTACACAAAATGCGTACAAATATACACATCCATTCGGAAACACTTTACACCCGAGAATACACTGTATCCTTTTCACTTCTCTATTGAAATCACGAAACCACACCGAGTGTGTATAGTTTCCGAACGCAGCCTATATATATATATATATATATATATATGGATTAGATTTTACTATTGTCAACAGTCATACCCCGTTGAAAACACACCAGTTCTCGTCTGATCACTGAAGTTAAGCACGTTGGGCATGGTTAGTACTTAGATGGGTGACCGCTTGGGAACACCATGTACCGTTGGCACCTTCTTTTTTCTTCTTTTTTTTGTTAATTCAAAATCTTAAAATAATAAAAATTTTTTCTAGAAGTAAGAGTCTGGGGAATGTTCTAATTTATAGTTCAAAAGAAAATAGCATCCAAAGTGAATTTAAAAAACAGTGAACAATAATGGAAATTGTCTTATCTTTTAGTAAACAAAAATTTTTATAATATATAAAATTGATTTATCACAAATAATATATAAAAAAATGTTTTATGTTTCTTTTAAGATTTTGAATAAGCAAAAAAAAGAAGAAAAAAGAAGGTGCCAACGGTACATGGTGTTCCCAAGCGGTCACCCATCTAAGTACTAACCATGCCCAACGTTGCTTAACTTCAGTGATCGGACGAGAACTGGTGTGTTCAACGGGGTATGACTGTTGACAATGGTAAAATCTTTAATTACTGAAGAAATAGTCACTTGAAAATTTTAAGAGTATTGTAAATAAAATAGTTTCTTTATTGTCATTATAATTTAAGTATACATACATTTGAAACAAAAAATAAATATTATTTTTGGTAATAAACAGATCCTAAAGCCGCCTGTTTTACCAATAAAACGCGAAATTAAGATTTGACTATATATTAATCATTTTACTAACTATACATACCCCAGACAGCACAAAATTTTATGATAAAGATTCATAAATATTTATAAATATATATATATTTTTTAATATTATATAAATATTTTGAAAATGTTTATAAAAACCTTTTATTAACATATTATTAAAATAGATTAAAATATTTAATATAATATATTTATGGTATAAATAAAGATAAATATTTATATAAATATATTATTTTTTAAATATTTTTTAACTAATTTGTTAGTTTTTTTCATTTATCGCTATGTGATGTATATCTTTCTCATATTTGATTTTCATTGTAAGAATTATATAAGACTGACAAAAACGGAAATTAATAAAATTAAAAGTCATAAAATTATTTATTCTATTTTAAATTACCTTCTATAATAGGGGTTGTATAGATTTACATAAGCCGTCTATTTATTAAATTTAATTAATATTGAATATTAGAATTAAATATTAAATATTAATATTTAAAATATTAAAATAGTAATATTAATATTGAGAGAATATTAAGAATAAATATTAAATATTAATATTAAAAATATTAAATATAAATATTATTAATATTAAATATTAAGAATAAATAGTAATTAATCCTATAAAATAAGTATATTATATTTAAGTTAGTTTTAGTAAGTAATATTTTTTTAATATTAAGACCTAAATATTGAGAATAAATATATATGCACTAATATTTTAAAATTTTAATATTATAAATAATATTAATACTAAATATATTAAAAATTATAATATCAAATATTATTAATATTGAATATTAAGAATAAATATTCAATATTAAATTGAATTCTAATATTTGATATTTATATATATTTATTTTTTAATATTCAATATATTAATATTAATAATATTAATATTTTAATATAATTCTTAATATTTATATTATTCTTTTAACTTTTAACTTTCGATTTTAAATAACACCAGTGTGATGTTACGTTAACCTCGGTTTAATTGATGGAAATTTCACTTGAAAGGACACAACCAAATGGTCGAAACGTCATGAAATAATCAAATAAAATTTGCTAGTTACTGTCGAAGTCAAGTTTTTTAAGCTTATTTTCACCACTAGCGACCATATTAATTTGATTAATATTAATTTTAATTGATCGTATTTATATATTCTATATATAATTTTTAATTAAGAATTTAACAAGGCTTTGTAATATAAATATAAATATAAATTGAGAATGTTAAACAGGCAATAAGAGCCACATCGCGGATGACAGTGCGTTATCCCAACGCGAAACTAAATTTTTTTTGTTAGGATTAAAACTGTGCACAAGGTACTAAATTTTTACTTGGACACAGCCAAGATTTAAAATTGGAATAATCTCTACAAGAGATTTAATTCCATACATCCCCTGTTCCCCCTTAACGGGTTCGTTTCCCGATTCAGCGACTTTCGGATCTATATTTTTCTCTCGCATTTATTTCCTTAAGGGGGGAACAGGGGATGTATGGAATTAAATCTCTTGTAGAGATTATTCCAATTTTAAATCTTGGCTGTGTCCAAGTAGAATTTAGTGCCTTGTGCACAGGTTTTAGTTTCGTTGGGATAACGCACTGTCATCCGCGATGTGGCTCTTATTGCCTGTTTAACACTCTCAATTTATATTTATATTTATAATTTTTAATATTCAATATTAATATTTAATATTTATTCCTAATATTTTCTCTATTACGCGCAGAGCCTGAATAGTCTGGTGTATTATACGGATGTTTGCGGTAGTTCGAGTCACTGCCGCTTGGCGGCGCTGAGGAGCAGTCGGACGCGATCTCTGGCGGCGCTGACATAAAGTAACCTCGGGGGCGACCTCTAACAGCACATACGCGAGCAGCGGCGCGAGTGTGACGTTGCTCTCTGCATCATTGCCGTCGAAAATGGCGTCGAGTTCGGAGCTGCTGGAATACTCGTTCCCGATGAAGCGTCGGAGGCTCGATGGCGATGATCGGGAGACGGTCGGCGCGGCCACGGGGGAACCGCGGCTCGACGAGGCCCTGCGCGACAGCCCGCACGACGAGCTCGAAGGTATCAGAAACGAAAAATCCAGACGGATTAGGCGCGATCGGGCGATCGCGCGCCCGAAACCGCCGCGGAAATTTCGCGGGTGGCCAGAAGGTGACAAGATGGCGGCCGTCGAACGCCTTTCGACCCTTCTTCATCCGCGTCATCCGGCCGCCATGACAGTTCGCGATTAATGCGTTAATTTTTCGCGGCCTATTTTTCGTCTCGCGAAGAACCAAGTTGTGACATATACATGTATATATGATGTGTGTGTTTTGCACCTAGTCTCGCGAGATATTTTTTCATTTTTTATTCGAAATTAAATATTTTTTTTATTACCCTTCTAGAGTCGAGATCGATCGATATCGTCGTACTTCGGAACCGATCATCGCGTCACCTCATTCACAGATGGCATCCCATGGTTGACGTTCGTTCGTTTTACCTGCACCTTCTGTACTCGCTGTTTCTCTTTTCTCTTTCTCACGATTTTTTTTTTCTCTCGTTCATTGGTTTATTTCGAATTTATATATGAAATAAATTTCATATTCCAATCTCGAAGTTTTTCGTAAGAGGGACAAATTTTATCTTTCCAAAATTGTACATATATCGTGCAGTGTTTCTTTCAATCTTACAGACTGTTTTAAATTTTACTCTTGGCGCGAAATTATAATTAATTTTTTAATTGCACTTTTTATTTACACAATTTTATTTGCACACAATTGTATTATTATTTAATTATATTAAAGTGAAAAATTTATAATTATTTTTTAATTTGTTGACATATTAAATATATTGTATATAAAGAAATCAGTTATTTATGAGAAATTAAATTACAAATTTAATTAAAGTAGAAGAAAAAAATTATGTATGAAATAAAATGTTTCAAATTGATAACATTATATTTTTTAAATTTAACTATTTATAGTGTGTTAGTTTTAAGTACTATTATGTCAGCTATTAAATACAATTTTATATTTTACAGAAATACTTGGTGCAGACAGTGGATTTAATGAACTGAGCGACGAATCCAAATCTACAGTTATATCTCCCGCAATTACAAATCTAACATCACCATCATCTAGAATCGATTCTGCTAGTAATGGTGCTAGTTGCATGTAAGCTATACACATATATTTATTTATTATATTATTTATTATATTTATTATATTATTTTATTATTATATATATATATATATATATATATATATATATACATACATACAATATTTGTATATAATGTATTTAGTAATTAGATTTTTAAAATTACATTGTTTAATATAATATTTCAGAAATGATACTACAGACGAGAAAGACGAGATGTCCTCCACAGTCTCAAATTTATCAGACTTATCAGGTTTGTCTGATCTTTCTGGAGATGCAGAAGTCAATCATCAATGGAGAAACGCTTCTTCGTGGATTCAAAAGCAGATGTTAACAGGTGCAGATCCAAGGGATCTCCTACATCACCTTCTTATGGATTCTACAATGATTCCTGAGCAAGTTGATGATCTCACATTATGGAAGGTAACTTTTTTTATAAGATAATTGAAAATTTGCAAAATAATTGAATACATATATAAAAAAATTTTTTAAATAATTAAATACATATATAAAATAGTTAAATAAAGATATAATATTTTACTAATTTTAGATTATAATCAATATGATGTCGGAACCTCCGAGACGGCAAAAACTTAAACATATAAATACCGTGTCGGATGCGGTACGATTAATTCGCAATAGCAAGAAAATTATAGTCTTAACTGGTGCAGGCGTTAGCGTCAGTTGTGGCATTCCTGATTTTAGAAGCAAAGATGGTATTTATTCAAGACTAGCGCAGGATTTTCCAGATTTACCAGATCCACAGGTACTGAAAGATCTCAGCTTTATGCATTGCAAACAGCTTTGGTTAATATGTACAGGGTGTATACTCTTGGGAAATACCCTTAAAATCTGATATTCTCAAGGACTTAAAAATCAGAGAATTCTCACAGGAGTTCATTGGCATTCAGGGAATTAAAAAAATTACAGTTTTGATAATTTTATGTCTAATATATTTTTACAATATTTAAGTTTTTTATTAAAATTTTATGTAATTTTTTTATTAACAATTTATTTCAGTATATAATATTTTATGTAAATTTTATAAAAATGTTCAATTTTTGAATAGGTAATATTTAAATAAATTAGTACTCCTTATGTATTTAATAAATAATTAAATAAATAATAATTTAATAAAAAGAAAATTTAATAAATTAATATTTCTTATGATGTTTATAATAAATTATTGTTTGTTTTCTATTTTTATTTTATATTATATTTTTTATATATTTTTAGAGTTTAGATATAATGATATATCACAATTTGTTATTGTTTAAATTAATTTTACAAGTAATAAATCAGTATTAAATGAAAAATTGCATTCTTGATAACTTTCTAATTGTATGAATAGAAAACATTAAAAAGTGTATATAATTATTTAAAAAGCTGCATCTACAAATTTTCTGATTTTACTTGAAATTTTAAACGAAAATACCGGAAAAGGGACTTCTTTTTCCAGGAAATATTTTTTATAAATTTGAGTAGATATCCTGTATATATTAAAATTCTAAATATATTGAGAGATTCATCTCATAGTTTGAAAATAAATTTATATAATATTATATATATTATATATAATATATATAATATTATAGATTATATGTTATATAATTTATATAATACTATTATATTATATATATATATATATATAATATTTTTCTGATTTATTTTTTCAGGCTATGTTTGACATAAATTATTTTAGCCAAGATCCCAGGCCGTTTTTCAAATTTGCATGCGAAATATATCCAGGACAATTTAAACCCAGTCCATGTCACAGGTTCATCAAAATGTTAGAGAAGCAGAAGAAGCTCTTGAAGAATTATTCACAAAATATTGACACTTTGGAACAAGTAGCGGGTATTAAAAATGTGATTGAATGCCATGGTAAGTACAAAATTACTATTTGTTTATTATACAAAGTGTATTTGAGTGATATTTTATACAAATCTTTCTGTTGTGTATATTAATTTTTATATAAATTTATATTTTTATCGATTTTAATTAATGAATATGTTTTATAATTCAGATAAATTTTAAATATAATAGATATTATTTTTATATTATTATAATTTAATAAATTAAATTAATTTAATGTAATATATAATATTAATTTATTTTAATATTGTAATATATTAATAATTAAATGAATATTTTAATGTATTAATAATATATACATATAATAAATATCATAAAAGTTTGAGAAATTTTTGTCTAAGATTCTAGAAAGAAAAAAGACAATTTTGTATGAAAATGGAAATAGATGATGGAACATTATTTTTATGATGGTCAATTTCAAGTAGATAAATTGTAATAAATTGTTTTATTTTCTACCTACTCTCTATTAAATTTATATTATTTTTTATTAATTCTATTTTATATTTTGTATTAAAGGCTCTTTTGCCACCGCGTCGTGTACAAGATGTAAATACCAAGTGAAAGCGGATGATATTAGGGAAGATATCTTCGCACAAAGGATACCTACATGCCCGAAATGCCGTGTTAACGCATTGCCATCTCTGTCCGAGATTAATTGCAGCGAGAATTACCGAGGTAAATAAAGAAATTCGTCTTCATATAATTCTTGCTGATAGTGATTTATTTGCAGTCTTTCGTAACGGCTTAATCAATTTCAATATGATATGGAGAAAATTAGCTATCTTTAGTGATAGTTTTCCGTTATTTAAGCCTTTACTATAGTGTTCGCGAGTCTCGATGGCCAATGAGAGAAAACTTATCTACTCTTCTTCTGCGTCTCGAACTAAAATGAAGTTACTGATCCAACACATAAGTCGGTATCATCAATCGTAACTGCGAATAAAGCTTCGCTTGTTAATAAGCACATAAAGGTAAACTTAATACGATCGCGCTTACTTATGTGAGTGCCGTGTTTCGTGGCTATTTTAGAGCAACGGTTTGTTGTTTAATCCGTTTTCCTCAATTTTGACAGTAGATTGTGTGTTACGATTGAGCAAGAAACGCCATTTTATTTATTTATTTTCTTTTTTCGATGAGAAAATTATTCATTAAAATAAGAAAAAAAGACGAAATTTTTCACCGTTTAATTGAATTAATTTCCATCGCTTACAAACTTTCAGATCTGGTGTCGCAAGGTATAATGAAGCCGGATATCGTTTTCTTCGGCGAAGGACTCCCGGACGCCTTTCACGACGCGATGGCCAAAGACAAGGACGATTGTGATCTTCTAATTGTTATCGGTTCGTCCTTGAAGGTCCGGCCGGTAGCTCTAATTCCTTCGTCGATTCCGCCGAATGTACCGCAAATTCTCATTAATCGGGAACCGTTGCCGCATCTCAAATTCGACATTGAGCTACTGGGCGACGGTGATATTATCATAAATCAAATATGCCATTTGTAAGTAAAAATCATACATGTAAAAGAATTTTGTAAAATTATAAAGTAGCCCGCACTAACTTTATTTTGGTTGAATCGGCTGGTTTTTTACGTGCTTAATGAAAAAATATTTTATTATAGTGTTTTGGAAACGTCTCAATTACAAGAATATGGAATAAAAAATAGGGGTTTCTATTTAAGATTTTTATGTTGATCTTGATTGGCTTCTCAAGGTCATCCCAAATAGATATTATTAGCTAATAGATGTTTTAAACTCTCTATTTTACTCTTTTTGTTTGAAATATTTTTCCAAAAAGTCAATATTTTCTGAGATATTTTGCCGTTTCGAAACTGTTTTATAAGATTAGTGAGGAATTATTGTATTTATATAAAATTCCAGATGAAATTAAATCCCCCCAAAATTAACTGGTTTTCTCCATATATTGTAGCTTGATTTATTAAACAAATGTAATAGACTTGAAGCTAAATGATAGACAGTTATTAATTTATAATTAGTCAAACATGAAAAAATATGTAATAAAAAATAGAAATTTCTATTTAAGATTTTTATGTTGACCTTGACTAGGCTTTTCAAAGTCATCCCAAGGTCATCAGCTAATAGTTTTTTTTAAACTACTCTTTTTGTTTGAAACATTTTTCCAATAAGTCGATATTTTCTGAGACAGTTACTAATTGACATTTAGTTAAACATGAAAAACTCAGGCTTTGCGAGTTGTTTGACTGGCTCAATAATTGTCCATTATTGAGACTATTGCATCTTTTGTTCAGCAGGTCAAAAGCTACAACATATAAAAAAACTAGCTGATTTAACTGAAATTTATTTCACACAAGATTAGGACTCTATACTTTCAATATTATTTACGCTTAATTTTAATTGTCATAATTAAAATCTCGATCTATGTTAATGACAGATTGGGCGACACTTATAAAGAAGTCTGTTGGTACGACAAAATCTTGAAAGAAGCCTCACAACTGGTGTCATTGCGCTATTTACCCGACATGTGGGAACAGAATCAAGATACGACGAGCAACACCGAAGTATCACGCGATAGCATAGAAGTTGATTTTAAATCTCAAAACGCACCCTCGACTGAAAATCCGCTGACGACGACAAACGCAACATCGCACCATGATGAAAATAATGACTACCTTTCGTCCTTCCAACGTACGAAAAATGCGGAGGAGAGCTTCGGTCCTTTCGGAGAGAGCCCGAAGAGACGATCATCAGGTGATACTAGTATAGAGAACAATTCCAAGAGGATGAATTTCGGTGGCACGTGCGAGTCGAATAGCTCCATATCATCTGCAAAAGTGAACGTCGAGAGTGCAATGACCTCGTTGGAGAACAGATTTCATGTGGCGTCTAAAAAGAACTCGAAAGAATGTCAGGTGGTGCCGGTGTCGTTGTCTCTTTCCTCGGAAGCAGTCATAAACGAGAATACTTTGTCGTATAAATTACTGGACAGTTGTGAAAAATCAAACAACTATGACGATATTGTAACGATAGACGCTGTCGAATCGGACAAAGCGATACCGAAGCTGAGACAAGCCTCGGTAGATTCCATGTTGGATTCTGGTATAGGTGACAGTTGTAATAGTGTCGATAGTACGGAGGAGAAGTTCGACATTGCCGAATTGAAGAACAGAAGTTTGGAGAGACATTGCTGGCAACCAAAAACTCGAGAGAGCCTCGCTATTCGGTTACCAGGTATATTATTGTCATAGATATTTTAATAAAATACTTTTGGATAAACGAAAATTAAAATATGATGTAAAAAATAAAAATTATTAATTATATTAATTACAAATCTATTAACATTGCAGAAAATTCTTATTACCAATTGGCACCGGGTAGATATATCTTTCCTGGCGCGGAGGTCTATTCCGAACCTGAAGATTACGACCAGTGCTCTCTTTCGGCAAATTCCGAGAGCACAGACAGTGAAAGCGACTCTTCTTCGGAAGAGGAAGAAGAAGAGGACGAAGAGGAAGAGACATGTGAGTTGTTTTTTTAATAATTTTATGTACAGGATGTTTTATTTAAACTTATTAAAAAATAAGTTTAATAATTTAGAAAAAATGTTTCGGACTAAAATTGTTTAGTTTTAAGGAGGAAAGAAGTTGATTTGAAATTTTAACTAAGTGGACTGTTTTGGCCGTTCTATCCTTTTAACTTCAAATATTGCGAAAATCGATTTACATAAAAAATTATAGTTCTATTAAAAAAAACTAGGTTAACCTTCAAATAACCTTGAAAAGTAACTTTGATTAAAATTCAAGATTATCGACTTCTTTCCTTCTGTCCTCAAAAACTAAACTTTACGAGAAATTGATTTATATAAAAATATTATGGTGGTTCCAATTTAAAAAAACTATTCAAATAACCTAGAAAAGTAACCTTGATTAAAATTAAAGATTATCAACCTCTTTCTTTTTTTCCTCTCAAAACTAAATTTGTTCGAAAAATTTTTTCTAAAACGTAATATTTTTTAATTATTTAAACTTATTTTTTTCAAATGGGACAATCTGCCTATAATTCATTACTTCGTCAATTATATTTAATTACTTTTTTGTGTCTTCAGGTGCGGACGACGATCTTTCAGAAGGAGTGGACCCTGACACCGATGGCCAAAATAACGATGCGACGAGTGATTCTCACAGTGCTGCGCAGCATTGAATTGAAGCTACGCCCTATTATATATAATAGTGGTTAGTTTCGATTATTGTTTCCCTAGATCAATTTTTATCAAAGTTTGTTGAGATTATTTGTATACAGTGATATATAAAACACACAGTGCAATTTTTATTGGCTCGCTTACAAAGCGAGATATATAAATGTTAACCGTTGCACGTGTAAATGGAATCCAATGCACACACATACATACATACATATATATATATATATATATATATATATATATATATATAATTGCTAATATATTTATTTAGTCCAAAGTTGGGATAATTTTTTCACATTTGATCTAATTATCAAGAGATCTAAGCACAAAAAACTATATATATTTTTTTTTACCGATTTATTGCAATTATTGAACATACAAATTTGCAGTGTCCATGTAATAATGTACATAAGCTATCATTGTCTTATATAAGGACTTACATTTTAACGATACAATTTTGTTTTCCCTATACGAAGATCATACGTTGAAATGATCAAAACTGCTTGTGTAGCTTAACATACTATCCTATAATATGAATAACAGTCTATTTAACTCACTTTATACTCGTATAATATGTATATATATATATTGATGTTTCAGCCTGTCTTTTAATCAAAAGACAAAGCAAGAGTGGCGCGACATTAAAAGAGGAAAATTACATTTTGTCCTAATTGTGCGATAAATTGTGTAAATGAGATTAATCTTAAATGTATTAACCTAGTTGATAAAAAAAATCGCGGATTTACTGCATCTAATGTAGTGTTCTAAACAAATGCAGGTTCTCTCTTTTTAGCTCTGCACAATGGTCTCACACTCTTTATATTTAATTAAAGTTAAAGGAACAATCATGTATTGGAAGAAAACAAAAAGAAATGTAGAAACTGCGACTAAAATTAGCTCAGAAGCAATGCATTTTATAAAAAATCATCAATGATGTTCTTTTTATATCAGATAATGCATGTAATTATATTTTAAGCGCACATTACAATTGAAACTGTAAATCTGTAACAATTTGGGCCACATAGCTTTTTTTCTGCGATCAAAATGAAAATATTACTTCAAATTTAATTATGCAAATCAAATTGTACACTAATACTGCATTAGACTAGTAATAATTAAAAAAAATTAAATACTAATATTAGTGTTATATTATTACATGCATTGCTATTTCTGTCGTTATATGATTAAGATTGCTAGTATTAGTGTCGAGATCTTCCTTCATTACAAACTTAATTGAAAGGAATGGTTAATTAATATAAATGGTGTAATTCCATTACAAGTGGAATAAAATTTTTTACTTGGTTTTTTATTTAATTATAAAATATATATTTACAAGCTCAGATAACAAGTGTACGTCATTTTGACGTCGAGTAACGTCAAAATGACGTAACTTTGCTATTTGGGAGACATTCGCATTACAATGAAAGATGGATCGAATTTTTATAATAAATAAGCAATAATTTAAATTGTTGGCGCAATCATGCACTTGCATTCTATTATTAAGTTATACATATATCGATAGCCTTTTTGCGTCCCGATAATATATTATGTAATTACGTCATAGTTCTGCAAGTGAGAACACTCTCTTTAGATTCGTTAAGTTCGACTTTGTTTTTATTAGAGCACGGGCGAATGTACAAAGCAATGTTGGATAGCTTCGCATTGCATGTTATTTTTATATGAGCCAGAGGAAAGAAATAGAATAGCGAATTTAAACAAGATTAAAATAAATATTAATGCAATATAACATTTGACAAACTGTTCATCGTTAATCTGCGTAAAACTAATGTGAAATCTTATATATCTTGGTATAATTATATGCAGGGTATCCCAGAGAAAATTGCTGAAACTAATCAGCTGTCATCTTTTTAATGCACGCAGTTATTGAGAAAACAAAAATTGTGTTGGAAAGAGGAGTCTGCAATTTTTAATGAATATAAATAAATATATTTATAATTATAATTTGTAGTATAATTATATATAAATAATTAAATTATATATAATTATAATTATATATAAATAAAATGTTTGTATATACCAGTTTGTTTTATTGATAAAAAGTAATGAAAAAGTGCTAATAATCACATAAAGTAATAATAATTAAAAAATGACAGATGATTAGTTTCAGCAATTTTCTGTAGGACATCCTGTATAAATTATAAAAAAGAATAATGTAAAAAAGGCGCAGATTAAGACATTTTTTGTATGTACAGGAAGAAAAACGGTCTTGTCAAAAGTAATTATTGCATATTTATATGTAAGAAATAGGAAAAAACGCGGTTGTGTGTGTACAAGTTTATTATTATTATATAATTAAATAACGATGGACGTAAACTTACTTTGATTCAATGCTGTTGCATTGTGTGAGTAATGTTTGAAATAATAATTGCAAATACGATAAAATATGTTAAAGTATGTATATGCATGCATGAAAGAGAGAGAGAAAGAAAAATTAATAAATCATACGATAAGTAACACACACACACACACACACACACACACATATCACACACTTCAATTCATGCGTAAGATTTTATTTTACATTAATTCTGGCGACGAGAAAACTCGAAATATAGCATTTGGTTCCTTGTACTAACAATTAACGATTTAATAAGATTAAGATGTCACACGAGGATTCTATTTTCTGTGTTTTGTATAAATAGCCTTTATCACTGTTTTGTGCTGAATATTTTGGGCAGAAGGCAAATTAGGTATTATTAGATTTCGCCAATTCCTCTTTCTTCTTTTATTTATATTTGATACATATGTTGTTGTTTTTTTATACGAGTGTATATATATATATTACACATAAGTATCCGTGAAAATAAGTAAAGAATTTCTAGAGAATCCCAGATAGCAAATTGACGTCAATCAACGTCAAATGACATTATGAGACATTAAAACGACGTCATTTTGACGTTTAATTACGTCAGTTTGCTACTTAGGATAATGCATATATGATGTTTCGCATTGAATTAATTTTTTTCTTTTAATTATATCATATAATTAATATTGTTCATGATAAATTAATTTTTTGAATTTTTATATTTTTTACTTAATTACTTATTTACTTATATGCGCACCAGCTACTTAAAGAAGAGTCTAAAAAAAGGTGTATTTTGCGTTATCATTACAAGACATATTAATCGAGCGTCATCATGTAATATTATATATGTATTTAAAAATATATTTGTTATACAAATATATTTTTATATAGTGACAATTATACGTAAGAGTTAATTCGGAGAGAAAGAAAGAGAGGGGAAGGAAAAGAGGTCAAAGTTTGACAATCAATATCAACGTTTTCTTTTTTTGAATCAATTACAGTAAATTTCTGTATGAATTATATACTGTATACACATATGAATATTTATTATTATTTTTACAAATAAATTGCGATTTTTTTTATTGTGTCAACTGAATCGATGAGGAAACAAGAAAAGATTATGTTCGATTGAAGGTGTAATTTATTATTAAATCAGTTATAAATGTTCGCGATGATACAACAAAGTAGCACATAAAATTTAAAATTTTTTATAATTTGTTATTTAATGTAATGTGACTATGTTATAAAGAAAAGAATTGTTCTCTATTACAGACTTTGTAAGTTTCCTGTTTCTTCGGTATTATTAACGTATAAGCTTATCTCTTAAATTAAACGTTTTTTATAAATAAAACTGCGTTGTATTTATTTATTTTTCCTCTCGCAATTTTCTATAAATATTAACATCATGGAGACGAAATTAATATAAAAACAATCTAGAAAAATTATTAGTCGCTATTAGCAGGATTAAATAATTTTTATGATATTTAATCAATTTTAAGAATGATTAAAGTATCATGAAAAAGTAGCAAAATGATGCAACATCATGATAGTAAATTTTTATAAAATAATCAATTAAAATTTGTATATATTTCAAAATTATATATGGTGATAAATAATAACATATACATTAAATGATAACAGTACAATAATTTGAGTTAAATCTATCATTTTTTTTTATAATATACATTTAAATATAAAAATTATTAAATATATTTTTTTGTAAAGACGATTAATTTAAGAATTCTTAAAATATTGAAAATATTTATGCTATTTATGTATATTCTATAGTATATATCATATAATAAAAATCAATAACAATTATAAAAAAATATTTATATATTTAAAACTTTTCTTGAACTTTTCTGAAATTATTTTAATTTTTAGTTTGTCTATTTAAAATCGCTCATTTACATATATATTAAATTGCCTTTAACAAATGTATATATATATATATATTTAATAATTTTATATATGTATATATATATTTATTAAATATATATTATTAAAAAAAATTAATGATTTATATACACTATTGAATGTTGATTTAAACTCGAGTTTCTAGCATGAGACCAAATATTTTGTTCTTAATCATAGCATCTTGCTTATATTTTACATTTTTACACTATCATAGTATATATATTTATAAGCTGGAGACGCTCAGCTTTCTTTAAAAATTCTAAATCCTAGCTGAAATATAATAAGAGTAATTATACCTTTAAGAATTATTATTTTAGATACTTTTTTTCATTTTTTATGTATTGATTGATATAATTAATAATAATTAAAGTACTATAAATATATATATACTTTTAAAACAGATACATTTATTTTCTATTATATATAGTTTTTTTATCTGTAATAATGTCTCTTTAATAAAAATATTTGTTACAAAAAAAATTAACAGAATACGATTATTAGAGATGAAAAAAGCTATGAATTAGAAAATAAATCGTTCAGTATCTTTATTCATCAGTAGCTAGAGTTCTATTATTCGATATATTCACATATTTTATGTAAGAATTATACAAAAAATTTGGTTGTCGGAGATTCACTGATTGATGATTTTTGGATATAATATAGATACGTTAACAAAAAAATTTTCGATATATTTTTTATTAATATTTGATACTATCGAACAAGTCGTCGCATTAAAAAAAAATTATTTTGATATGTATTTTGCAAGAAAAAATTTCTCGCTTCTGACGTCATAATTCAGTATATAAAAAATAGAAATAAAAATCATTAATGTCTTAAAAAAAAACAGGTGGACGATAGAAAACAGAAGATATAAATAGAGAATAATAAATTCGTTGTTATATATTTATTGATTGATTTATTTATTTGCTTTATTGTTATATGTCATATAATAGTTTTATATCATATATCGCAGTTATCATAAATCAAATTTGAAAATAGGCTTTAAATTATAACAATATACTCTTAGAGAATAATTGAAGCGCTCCCTGGAATATAATAATAGGTCAAAAAGCCCTCGTATGATTTCTTTTCTTCCATGTGAGCTTCATATATCATATATATATATATGTATGTATATATATATATATATATATATATATATATATATATATATATATATATATATCATCATTGAAACTTATGCGAGTCTGTGGGGATCGTTTCAATTACATTTTATTATATCATCGCTATGTATTGAACACTTGCCGAAATCCCCATCGAGAAAGATTTTCAAATGTTCAATTAAAATGAACATTTTCATATATATATATAAATATATATACATATATATATCTCGAATATATATATATATATATCTATACATATAAATATACATATATCTATATATATAATATTATATTATTATACTAAGTCCAGCCGAAATAGCGGGTAACATTTCTCTATGTGTGTTTTTTTTCTTTCTTTCTTGCATTTTCTTCCCTCCTTCCTTCCTTTTTCTCTCATTTTCCTCTTCTTATAGTTATGTCTTGTGTGTATATAATATATAATAACTATAATATAATAATAAACATTATTACCACCACACAGCAATAATATTATAATAGCACTATATCGCACTAGGGACGCACAGCTATAATTTTTTTTTCCTTTTTAATGCATCGGCGGCCCACTACCACTTTAACAATGAACAATATTTCATTGATCTGAATAAGGGAATTCGGTGTACATATTATTAATACAGTGTACGTGTGTTTCTGTGTGTATATTCGATTCGTGACATTTTTCCCCCTTATAATGCTTAGATAAATTCGATTTCGAGAGAACATGGTCGTTTTCTTATTTTATACGCGTAGCGTATTTATATATAAACCTTTTTTGTGTGTTCAATTAAAAACTCCCCAGGTAGAAAGTGCATGTCATTTTGACGTCCAATAACGTCACTAGACGGCAAAATGACATCATAGACACGTAATAACGTCATTTTGACATTTAATGACGTCACTAGATGATAAAATAACATCACTCGACGTTAAATGACGTCATAGACAGCATATTGATGTCATTTTGACGTTTAATGACGTCACTAGACGGCAAATGACATCACTAGACATTAAATAACGTCATTTGATGATGTTAGTTCGCTACTTGGATTGCTAGGAGTATCGTACATTATTTATTGGATGGATCAGCTTGGAAATCAAGACGTAATTCGATTAATAATTGTGCTTGTGAAGTAAAGGGATGAAAATACGACTGGACAAACGAAAAACTTCGCTCGATAATATAACGTTTCGTCTTCATTTCGTTCGTATAATCTTCAATCATCATTTACGTTTAGCACCGACATGAGTGCTAAAACAGTGAGTCGTAATCGAGGATTTTAGTGAGAAAAACATTTTTCCACTTGTAGCACAGATCTCTCTTTTGGGCATCCGGCACCATATGGCTTCAGAAAAATGAAGAAAAAAATAAAATAAAATTCAGCGACAGCTACGGATTTAAAAGCACAGGTGCGAAGGTGGAAAAGGAATTAATACCCAGTTTTTTTTGTTACTTCTCTTTTTAATCGAGTTAACAATTTTCTCAAGATCCTTCTATATCTGGTTTATTCTCACTCTGCCATATGGAAGTAATCGGAATTATAAGCAAGTGTGTGTTTCTACAACTTTTTCATATTCATACACATATATTATTATTATTATTATTATTATTATTATTATTATTATTATTATTATTACAGCAAAGAAATCCTTCTTTTTCCTCTGAACAATTTCAACACAATCTTCATCAACTAATACAAAGAATCATATATATAGCGTAAGAAGAGAACAGCTGCTCCTAATGTAAAATAACTTGTAATTTAAATCCCGTTCTTTGTAAAGAAAAAAATGTGCGTTTGTGAATTTTTTATCTCGCAATAATATATAGATCTGTGATTTTTTTTCAAGCCTCCTCTTCGCAAATTCAAGTCAGTTTCAACGAGAGAAAATATTCATCATTATTAGCGGTTTAATTATTATTCATCAAGATGTTCATCAGGATGCTACTTTATAGTAACTGATAGCGACTTGTCGTACGAAGTGATCATATTACTCTGCCAAATTATTATCAATCAGTTTCAGTGTTATGTACTGATGCTGTAAGGGACCCGTCTGTCCACGTAGATCGCTAGATGCATGATGACGTCATCTGCAATTGGGTTCTTTTTATTTTTTTTTCTTCTGTGCAAACCTAGCGATCCAGATGTAGAGGGGCCCCTTCATATTCTCCCTTATCTTCTCTTTTATATTCTAAGTTGATATATCTAATAATAGCAATAAGAGTCGAATAATTAAGGATCTCGTGTTTCGTTTATCATTTAAGCATGATATGCAATTATAAAGAATATCGATTGGATTTTTTAAATAAGATCATAAATTTTTATATGCGTACCTACAAATAATTAAACGATTTTTTCGAATCTATCACTACTACGAATTGCAAATGTTTTCATCGTCAGAGATTTGAAGAAGTTGTGTCAAAATGTGATCTTTTTTTCTTTTAATGAGTCCATTTAGTCCACGCCTGAAAGTAAACAAAAATTAATACGTTGTATATATAACGTAATCTCTTCTGTAATATATATTTTAACATATAATCTTTTGAAAAAAAATTTCAAATATAAAATAATTTTATATATACATATACACAGGATACTCCCTTTTAAATAATACATTATTTCAAAAACCAAGATTTCTATCAAAAAATCATACAAGTTTTTAAAGTGTTTTGAAAGGTTCTCGAGATAAGCCACAAGAATATGTAATAAGGGTTTTCATTTAAAATTTTTAAGTTGATTTGTAAATTATTTCGAATGTTGACCTCTAGGTCAAAGTCAAGGTCATCATATCCAGTCCAGAAGTCCCTCTCGAAATACTATAACTTTTATATAAAACATTTTTTTGATGGAACCCTTGGTTTTTGAAATATATTAATGCATTACTCAAAATAGGATACTCTCTCTGTACAGGATGTCCGGTAATTCGCGCCCCACCCGTCAGGTGCAGGTAAAACAAGTCAAATTGAGTAAAAGAAGTTCTTTACCGTTTTGCGATTTTCTCAATAATAAAGAAGAAATTAATTAATAAAGTTTGGTCAATCCACGCAAGTAGTAGTGTGTGGCAAGAAAAAGCGCATTCGAAGATCTAGGTTTATGTATGTTATTATATTTTGTCGATTATCTTTTGTGTTTGTAAAACACGCGAATTGGCTGATTTTTATTATTAAATTAATTTCTTATTAAGTATAATTAATTATTGAGAATTTTGCAAAATGATAGAGAACTTTTCTACTCAATTTGACCTGCTCTACCTGCACCTGACAGATGGGGGGCGAATTACCGACACTCTGTATACAAGGTGTTTAATTTTAATCGACTACCCCCAAAAATTTTTTTTATTGTGCAACAAAAGTTTTTATTTGAAGGGGACAGATAATGGCGTTATTCTTATTGACTTTTTTTGAACATTTTCAAGGTCGTTTAAAGGTTATTTGTTCTTTTTAAATGGAATTAATCTAATTTTTTTTTATATAAAATCGATTTCTCGTAATTTTTGACATAAAAAGTTATAAGATTAAGATGATAAAATGAATAATTCACGAGATATTTTATATCTAAATTTGAAGATAATTTTTTAAAAATATATTTAATTATAATATATCATGTGACTGTTATTAATTAAATTGTTATATTATATAATTATTTCATTAAATATTAATTATTGTATCACATATTAATTATAATTATAATATAATAATATAGTAATTATGATATTGTGTAATAATTATAATTTATAACAAATTTCATTTTAAAAAATATAAATGACCTTGAAAAGCGCTCTTCAAAAAAATTCAATAGCGCCATCTTCTGTCTCTCCTTTCAAATAAAACAACTTTTGTTTGAAACATTTTCTTGTACAGTCAAACAGGATGATCGATTAAAATCAGACGCTCTGTATATATTAAATAAAAATCTCTTACCGGATGTTGCTTGTTGTCTTGCACGGCATCAGGCATTCCCCAGGCCGGAGGCTCTATCTTATTCTGTTCATTCGGAGGTATTTCCGTCAAACCGGGCGTTCCAAATTGTCCTGGCATTAGCGTCAAACTCGGTATAAGTGACAGAGCCGCGGTGTTCCCGTTAGTTGGGAAAGGTTGCGCATCCACATGACCCTATAAACGATAAAGAGTAATGAAATTGACTCTATGAGTTATAAATACCCTCTTTATAATTACTCAAATGACCTTCAAATAACCTTGAAATGACTGCAAATGATCTTCAGAAATTAAAATTCAAGATTATCAACTTCTTTCTTCCTCGAACCAAATAATTTTCGAAACATTGTTTTAATAAAACGCAATAAGCATACTTTTTCAAATGAGACACCCCATGAAACGATTCATCAAATAAAAACAATCGACGTTCACCTGAAAGCTAGACTCCATCATTTGATGAAGCTCGGGCTCGACGTTGGCCATACGTTGATTGTAAGTGGAGTTCGAGCGGAACATCTGATGCCTGTCTATCGCAGGTGTCAGAGTGCAATTGGAGGACCAACCCAGCTTCTCGTTGAGTATCCAGCTGATGGAGTCGGCGTCACCGCCGGGACCAATGCCCGCGGCGGAATAGTTCTTCCAGGTCGCTCTCTCAGTGCCGATCGGCCGCGGGACCTTGCGGTCTTCCAGCTTCAGCTGGCTCATTTCCTGGGTGACCTGGGCCGGCGACGAGGGCGAAATCGCCGGCGAGCCGCCGTTCTCCAAACTCGTAATCAGGTCGATCCCGGCGCCGCCGCCGGGCTGAGCACCAGCGATGTTTGCCAGGTGATTGGAGAATCCGATCTGGCTGATGATGGGGTCCTGCTGGTGCGGCGGATAGTTCGCGTGAGGCGCTGGCCCGGCGCCGAACGGCCAGCGCGTCTGCGCGGTCGTGGATATCCCGGGGTTAGCGGCGGCCGCCGCGGCAGCCGCCGCCGCCGCGGCCGGCGTCACCCGGGAGGGCGCCTGGTATTTCCCCAGAGGAAAGTTACCCAGCATCGCTAAATTATTAGACTGCTGAATCGCGGACGGCGGCGGGGCTGGTACCGTGGCCGCGAACATGTTCGCCGGGTGCAGCGCCGAGCCGGTTGCGGCGTTGAACATTGTCACCTGGGACTTGTTGCCCAGGTGCAACGAGCTGGAGAAGTCGGGGGCACGGGGATTCAGCCTCGACATGCTGACGGTCGTGTTGATCACGGAGGAGGTGGACGGTGGCGCGATGGTCTGGGCGAAGCTCTGCATGTGCGGGTGAAACGGCAGAAGAGGATGACTCGCGGCGGCCGCGGTGGCGCCCTGGTTCTGCTGCTCGTTCGGGACCATCTTTAGGAGGCTCGAGTTCGGGTGCTCGTAGCCGCCCGCGGCACCGCTATTCGCCGTCTTGAAGAGGTCCAGGCCGGGCTGCGACGTGGACGAGGACGGGATCACGTGGCCAGCCGTCGGCGGCTGGTGCGTCGTCGCGTTCCTGGCCCCTAAGTCGCCCTGGAAGATCGCCGGTCGGTTGAACTGCGCCGCCGCCAGATCGATGCTCTGCTGGGGTATCACCGGTCTGGCCACGGCTAAACCTCCAGGTGGTTTGTTGGGCAACTGGTGCTCGTTGTAACTCGTCGAGGATGGGAACTGCGCGGATTGCATGGGATTGCTTGGCATGGAACAGGACACCACGCTGCCGATGTTCATGCTGCTGGTCGACGAGTTGTTAGCGAGCCCCGGTTTGCTGGAGACTGGAGAACACATGGTTGCTCCGCGGTATCCAGGTGCCTTAGACGCGTCCACCTGGCAAAATTAAAATTGTTTATTATTTTTGTTTAAACACAAAGATTTATTTTAAAATCCGGCCACGCTGGCAATGCTTTTTCTCTGAAAGTTTCCTCTGAGCCGTTCTACTGACATGAGGATTACACTAGCGTCACTTTTGTTACTGTTACAATTAAAATACTGTCACATCATAAATATATGTAAGTTTTTATTAGCATATTTTTTTTTTTTTTTTGATACCATTTGTTAGATTATTGTTTCATAACGCACTTGACTGTGGATCTTATAATTAGTGAGGTGTAATGAGAAAATTATTTTAATTTATAGGATGCGATTAATGTTTTATATTTTAACACCTGCCAACCTCGTAGTCAGAAAACTAAAGAGAATCGCTTCCCACACTAACGTAAATGTGATGGCTTAGTGAGAATCATCTTAATGTTAATCTTACGACATTTTATTTCGTTTACTGATGTAACCGCGTTTAAATATGTTTATTAGACTTTTATACGTTAAACATTTAGACTTTGGTGATTTTAATTTGTTTTGTGTACTGCGCTGAAGAAGATCCAAAAAATTGGATCAAAACGTTCGCTTTTTCATTTGTTTTAACTTTTGAGTTTATTTTTATAATTTTATATTAATTTAAACTTTATTGTTTCTATCAGTACATATTGATTAAATGTAATAAATTAGTTTTTATAACCGTAATATTACTTCTGCTCTTATTAGCCTTTTATATGTGTAATACTTTATTTGAATTAAAGAGCATTTAATTAGTATATGTAATATACATACATAATATATATGCAGGGTATCTACTCAAATTTCTTGTAAAAATATTCCCTGACGTCAGAAGCGAGAAAATATACCATAAAATTATTGCGACGTATGTGAAAATAAAAATATATTTTAATAAAATATCGGTTGAAATAGATAGAACAGACTTGTAGAATATACAGAAAACTCTCCTTTTGCTTGGGCAATCAATAAATAATATGTATATGTCAAATGAAATTGAGTCTAATCATAAGGACGAAAACCAACTGTTTGACAGGTATCGAAAGAAAATTAATATTTGCTTTCACATATTAAATTATGCCAAAATAAGTCTTCGATATATTTTAAGACCACAATTATTTTAAACACAAAAAACGAAAACACTGCACTAAAACGAAAAATAACGCTGTACATCGCAATAATCTTTTGGTTTGCTAAAATGTATGCTTATTTATTAATAAACAAAATCATATTATTTATTAATTACATTATTTTCGTTCATTACTGCCTTTTATCGATAAAACAATATACTTATTTTCACCGTTTTAAATTAAATCGTCACTGTCAACGTAGTCTTGGCAATCGAATATGTAGAAACCTTAAACTTTCAGATTTTCCCCCTCAAAAATTCCAGGTAAAATGCCGACATTCAGTCCAGGTTGCGCTCAGTCCAAGATTTTCAAATGTTTCTTTATAGCTGGTGCTTTCCATTTAGCAACACAGGTCGATATACAAATATCAAGGCTAACTTTGTTTTTATAAAATATAGAACAAAGAATTGTTCACTTGTGTCACTAAATTATGAAAAGCACCTTGTATGTCCTTAATAGTATCTTCTGTTCTTATAATTACAAAGAAAATGATTATATACTTAAAGATTACTAAACTTGTCCAATCAGTTTTGTATAGTAGTAATAGCTAGTAAAACTTTAATGAATTTTTTACTTAAAAAAAGAAAAAAAGAAGAAGATGATGAGTGTGTATGTGTGTGTCTGTTCTTTTCACTTGAATATGCTGCACTATTTCAGAATTTATTTTTTACACTCCACATTAGAAGAAAAAAGATAAACTAAAGATCATTTTGAAAAAAATTTCTCAATAAAGTTGAGAATTCTTGAATTTTCAAAGTAAAAAAATTTGACAATCTCGAGTTGTTCCATTTCATTTAGAGAGTAGACACCTTGATATATAAATATGTATGATTACAATATAAATATGACGGATTTGGTGCAAAGAATTTGATTATTTCCCATTTAACAAGCAATTTTTTCAGATTTTTTAATTTATTCCATCTCTCATATTTTTTTAATTAAGAGATTTCTCTTCAAAAATTCCAGGTAAAGTAAGGAAATTTGTATAGATGCCGACATCCAGTCCAGGATTTTCAAAATAAGTTTATCTTCTGTTCATATAATTACAAAAAAAAATAATTGTAAAAAGATTAACTTAACTAATTAGCGGATTTGTATTGAAAGTGCCTGTTAAATGAAGTGTTTGCCGAAATTAATTGTACGCTAATTAACTGTCTGCTAAAATCAGGATTGAGAAGTAATTTGTTACTTGTAACGAAGTTACAGTTACATTTTTTTGATAACTAGTAACTAATTTAATAGTTACTTTTTAATAGTTAGTTTATTTGAAACTTAGAGCTAACCATTTTTTGGAAAGTTACAACTGTCTGAAATTTTATGAATTTTTTAACTGAAAAATTTGAATCCCATAATTTTTATTCTAAGTAATATTAATTATTGTGTAGTTAATTTATTACAAATTTTAATTAAATATTAACCAAATCAAATATAGTAGGCCAACTGAACGAGCAAAAAAATAAGATGTAAAAATTTTTTTATTGATAGTTAAATAATTAAATTATCATTCCGTTACAGAAACAATATAAATCGTAAACGTTTCGACTGCACTACAGTCTTTTTCAATACATAAAAGTTAAAAATTAAAATACAAAGTTACATGTTAAAAATACAAAGTTAGTTAAATATTAAACTTATAACTTAAAAATATAACTTTGTATTTTTAACATGTAACTTTGTATTTTAATTTTTAACTTTTATGTATTGAAAAAGACTGTAGTGCAGTCGAAACGTTTACGATTTATATTGTTTCTGTAACGGAATGATAATTTAATTATTTAACTATCAATAAAAAAATTTTTACATCTTATTTTTTTGCTCGTTCAGTTGGCCTACTATATTTGATTTGGTTAATTTTGTTAATTTATACGAGCCTTTCATTAATTAATTTTAATTAAATATATTTAATATATGTATTAAATTATTAATTAAATATTTTAATATATGTATTAAATTATTAATTAAATATATTTAATATATGTATTAAATTATTAATTAAATATTTTTAATATATGTATTAAATTATTAATTAAATATATTTAATATATGTATTAAATTATTAATTAAATATTTTTAATATATGTATTAAATTATTAATTAAATATATTTAATATATGTATTAAATTATTAATTTAATATTTTAATATATTTTCATTTTAAACTTAAAACAATTGTAATTTATTGCAGATAAAATAATATAGCACATAATCAAGTATGTAATATATCATTTAATACAGTTTGAAATATATAAAATTTTTATGTGTTCTTGGCGCTATTTAAATTATTTTTATTTTTACCTATTTATTTATTTATTTGACTTTGTTATGAGATTTTAGATTGCGAAAGACACATTAGTTTTGTCTCTATTTCTTAGTGACTAGTGATTCTTGCTAACTGTTAACATCTATTTATTTCTTGCTTACTTCTGTCAGCTCTACATTGTTCATCAAAACAATGGTGAATATTGTCGGTGGTTTGCAGTGAATTTGGTTTACTGTATTAATTTGGTATGTGGCATATTTTTGTATTTGAATGTATAATTATTTGTTGCAATAAAGTGTATTAAAATTATAATTATTTTTATGTAATTTTTATAGATTTACTTGAAAAGGGCTGCAATGACAGCCGAAACGTTGTATTTTAACTAATTATTATAATAAATGATTGCCAGTTTGGTCGACTTTTAACTTTGAGGAGAGATTTTTAAAATTTTTATATTTAAAATATAATATAGAGCAATGATATATTTTATATTTTTTTATTTTTGCAATGCTATTACATTATATATTATATTTGTAATATATTATATATCATAACTATAAATACACATACATATATATATATATATATATATATATGTATAATACATTATAGATATATTATATATTATAAATATCATTGCAAAAAAAGTAACTGAAAAGTAACGATTCGTTACTTTTTGAGTTATAATAACTGTAACTTTTCATAATGTTATTTTTCAGAATCGATAACTGTTAATTGTAACTTATTATTTTTTCAGTGAAGAAAACAAAACTAACTGTAAGTAGATACTTTTACAAAATAACTTTCTCAACCCTGACTAGAATCTACATGAACTTTGCGAGATGAATTGCTGAGTTAATGAAACGACGAATTCTCACTACCTGAGGTGGAGAAGTGTCGAATTTAGCTGAGGACGAGCTGGAACTCGCGTTCGAAGATACACCACCGCCCGCAACAGTCGCGAAATTCATGCCTTTCTGAGTTTCGTTCTCCCTTCCGCCCCACATCGACTGTTGCGTGACCTTGGTAAAAGTATCATTGAACAGGGAGTATTCCAAGGGTGTGCTCGTAGGCAGCTGTTGTTGCTGGTGTTGCTGTTGTAAATTGTGTTGTTGTTGCTGCTCTTGCTGCATCACAACAGGCGTCGAGCTACGAGCAGCAGCTTGCTGCTGCTGCTGTTGCTGCGCCGGTGACGGAGGCGGCAGTACCTGTGTATGCGAGGACGCAGGCGGTGACGACGTCACTCGAATGGTCGAGGTCGACACGCTCGAACTGTCCGAGCAGTTAGTCATGGTCATCGTGCTCGTGGCCGACGACGAGATCGCGCTTGTACCCGAGGTATAACTTGACTTTCCAGGATAATGGGACACTATTGCCGGCGAGGCAGACAGAATGGGCAGTGATCGGCAGTGTTTCGGCGATGTACTGATTACGGACTGCTGCTGTTGCTGCTGCTGATTGGTCGTGTGAACGGTCGCTGCAGCCGACATGACTGTCACCACCTGGGCACCTGGTTGCTTGCTCAGTTGCTTGTTCATGGGCGCGACGTGAGCGGATTGCATGACCGTCGTGGAGCTGTGGGTCGAGGCAGTGATTTCGGACAGCTTCGCCGCGAACGTCTGCGTCGTGTTGGTCGCGACGATCTTCGTCCCCGCTCTACCGGCGGTCATGATCGCGCTTGTGTATGACATCGTCGTCTTGGTGTTCGACGAGGAGGCCATCTGCGCGGCTACGGCTTGTGCCCGTTTCTCCGCTGCACGCATATACGTTTGGAATATTATTTTATGACGTATATAACGATATAAATAACACATTTTATTAATTAATCACTCGACGTTTTATTTTATTTTGGAGCGTACAACAAGATGTTTCGAACTAAAGTTGTTTGATTTAAAGGGGACGGAAGTTCTACTGACTTTTCTAAAGGACGCTTTTCAAGGTCAAATGTTTTTTTTTTATCGGAACCACCATATTTCTTCGTATAAATCAATTCTTCACAACATTGACTATAAAAAGTTATAAGGGTAAGATGGCTGAAAAATGAATAGTTTACGAGATATATATATATTTTATACTTGAAGTTCCTAGATTCTCATCGCGGCCATGTTAGATTGTGACGTCGAGGCGAGAGAGCACACGCTGAAAATTCTCAGATACCATTTTTAAAAAAAGATATTTCGATGAAACACTATTTCAGATGACTTCAGTACACTATTAAAATAGCTCAAAAACTATTCTTTCCCTTGAAAATCTAAGAAGTGGCATCTAAGAATGTTTAGCGTCCGTTTTTTCGTCTCTGACGTCACAAAAACACAATCTATATATAGCTTTCTCTTTCTATTCCTATATCGTATCCTATATTGCAGCCGCTTACATGAGATTGTCGAAAAATAAATATTTTACAATATATTTTAGTTTATGTAAAATTATGTCAAATTTAAGTAATGAAATATCTTGTACCTAACTTAACCTATTCACTTTTTGGCCATCTTACAATCACTCTTACAACTTTTTATAACAAAAATTGCAAAGAATCAATTTATATAAAAAAATTTTAGTAGTTTCATGTAAAAACATAATGACCTTGAAAAACGCCTTACAAAAAAGTTAAGTAGCGTCATCTTCTGTCAAATAAAAAAAACTTGTTCGAAACATCTTGTTGGACAATCAAAAATGAAAAACTTTCCGAGGATGATCGATTAAAATAGGACATCCTATATATCATAATATCTAAATAATATATAAGTGATACTTTACCAGCAGCTACAAGTCTAGGTGCTGTCGCACGAGGTGAAGAAGTAGTGAATGCACCAGCGAGCTTAATAGAAGATGATGAGCGAAGAGGAACTAATTGGCTTACAGTAGATACCCCCGAGGGATACCCCGATTTATTAACTTGACTGTTAGTTGTACCGGCTGGATTAGACGGCTTATTTACAGATCCAATTTTCGTTTTGCATGTCTAAAAAAGAAGACTCGTTTTATATCGTGATGTAAGCTTAATTTTTAGGAACTTTGTCTTTATTAATTGCTTACTGCAATTGTTGTGGCAGATTTGTTGTCCCAAGAAGAAGTCGTGATGACATTGAGCTTTGATTTGGAAAGCATTTGCAATATATCTACTTCAGGATCTTTAATAAGTACAGATATCAACGAGTGAGCGTGTTTCGTCGCATCAGATGAGCCCCTAAAAAATTAATGTAGTGATCTAGAGACTTAAAGATAAAAAAATTTGTAATTTTTAAAAATAAGTTTCTTTATTATATGAGTTTCTAATGCTTTCTATTCGTATAATTGTAAAGCAAGTACTAAGTGCAGTTTTTCTAGCGTTTAATATTGATTTATTAATCTTATTAATTATTAAAATTAATTTAGACCATAACAAAGTGCAATTATCACTATATTCGAATATTAAAAAAAAATTATGTAAAAATATAAAAAATTTATTATATAAACGTTCTTAAGAAGCACTAATTTATTTAAATATTATTAAAAAATTAAACAATTTGCTATAAAACTCGCACAAGAGTACTAAAAAAAAAAAAAAAAAAAAAAAAAGGATTAAAAAAACCAAAAGAACTTAAAATCCCTGGTTTTCCCACTTTTTCCAGGGAGTAAACATCCTGATAATGTTAAATACTCACTTTATCGTGATGATTCTTTCTCCTTGGCATTTACTTTGCTTCTCCACTTCTATGTGCGCACCCGTGGCAGTACGAATGGCATTTATGTTACTACCACCTCTGCCTATTACTCGACTAATAGCGTTCGGCGGAACTGATACTTTTTCGATCGGAAAGGCGAATTCATATACCTGTTCGAATCGTCCGATTGCCCTCTGCAAAATTTAAAATTCAATATTCTTTAATACGCATGTCTTAAAGAACACGTGTCTATTTGTAAAAATAAAGATTTTCAGGGTGTATAATTTTATTAATCTTATAAATGCTGATTTACCAGGCACTTTTGTTTAAAATTACAAGTAAAATTAAAGTATTTAAAACAATTTTAAACTAAGTTTATTTTTGTTATACATAATTTTTTAATATAAATAAAATATTTTAATATTAGGACCTTGAATAAGTTCTCGCTGTTTTTTTTGTTAAAAAAAAACATTTATTTAAAATATAAGGCTTACAATAACTTTACTCAAAGTATTGTCCATCATTAGAGACCACTTTCTCCCATCTTTCTGGCAGTAATTGAATCCCCCGTCGAAAAAACGATTCATCTTTTGACGCAATCCATGAATCGACCCATTTTTCGATTTCTTCGAAAGAATGGAAGCGCTGCTCGCTCAAACCATGCGCCATCGACCGAAACAAGTAATAATCCGAGGGGGCTATGTCCGGTGAATACAGCGGGTGAGGTAGAACTTCCCATTGAAGCGTTTCCAGGTAAGTTTTGACTGGTTTTGCCACATGTGGCCGAGCATTGTCATGTAACAAAATCACTTTGTCGTGTCTCTGCCCGTATAGTGGCCGCTTTTCTTTTAGAGCTCGACTCAAACGCATCATCTGAAGTCGATAGCGAGCTCCCGTGATAGTTTCATTAGGTTTAAGCAGCTCATAATAAATTACGTCCTGCTGATCCCACCAAATGCAGAGTAGAATCTTGGAACCGTGGATATTTGGTTTTGGGAACGATGTTGATGCGTGACCGGGCGTACCCCACGATTTTTTACGCTTTGGATTGTCGTAGTAAATCCACTTTTCATCTCCAGTGATGATACGGTGCAGAAAACCTTTTCTTTTATGCCGTTGAAGCAGCAATTCACACATGAGAAAACGTCGTTCAACGTCTCTCGGCTTCAACTCATACGGCACCCAATGTCCTTGCTTTTGGAGCATTCCTAACGCTTTTAAACGTTTTGAAACTGTTGACGCATCTACTTGCAATGTTTTCCCGAGCTCTACTAGCGTCTGACATGGATCTTGATCAAGCAATGCCTCCAATTCTTCGTCTTCAAACTTTGTCGGTGCTCCAGAACGTTCTTTATCTTCAAGGTCAAAGTCATTATTTTTAAAGCGCCTAAACCAGTCTCTGCATGTCGTATTCGACAGAGCATTGTCACCATATGTTTCAACAAGAATTCTGTGTGCTTCAGCTGCAGATTTCTTTTGAATAAAGCAGTGCAATAAAATTCCCCGCAAAAACACTTTATTTGGCACAAAAGTAGACATTTTCGCAATAGGTAATTAAACACGTGGTTGACACTGTGGTAAACTGTATCTACTAGAATTTGAGGTTACATATAGTACTACTTAGCTGATGCGTTTCCGTACGAAATTCCATGCACAGAGTGCCGCTACGCCATCTTTTAAGAAACAGCGAGAACTTATTCAAGGACCTAATATGATAATATAATATTCTATTTTATAATGAAATATATATTTTTTTTAATATACTTTATATAAATTTAATAAATTTTATATTCTTTAAAGGTATTTGAAAATAAAATCAAAGGAGTGATTTTTTTAAAAATTCCCCGAGTTCGAAATAAATTCCATGAGTATTCCAGGATTTTTCAAGGTAGAAAAAAATTCCTTGAGAATCCCAAGTTTTTTCCGGTATGTATACTAATATATACTAAAATCAGGGTACACCCTGATTTAAATTACATTTTTAAAAATTTATATACTAACGAATAATATATACTAAAATCAGGGTACACCCTGATTTTAGTATATATTATTCGTTAGTATATAAATTTTTAAAAATGTAATTTAAGGCTCCTGGCTCCTCTCATCGCGGCGATTGTTAGATTGTGACGGTTTTTAATTAACTCCCGAGGGAAGAGAATAATTTTTGAGCTATTTTAAAAGTGTGCCAAAACCATTGGAAATAGTGCTTCATCGATTTTTTTATTTCAAAATGACATCAAGGAATTTTTAGCGTATGTTTTCTCGCCTCCAACGTCACAATTCCAACGTGATCGGTGAAGAGCCAGGAGCTTTAAAAAAAACTAAAATCAGGGTGTACCCTCACGTTGGAATTGTGACGTCGGAGGCGAGAAAACATACGCTAAAAATTCCTTGATGTCATTTTGAAATAAAAAAATATCGATGAAGCACTATTTCCAATGGTTTCGGCACACTTTTAAAATAGCTCGAAAATTATTCTCTTCCCTCGAGAGTTAATTAAAAACCGTCACAATCTAACAATCGCCGCGATGAGGAGCCAGGAGCCTTAAATTATCTTTTTAAAAAAATGCTTACTTTCGTACAACCTCTTTCCATCCATCCTCACGTTTGCCACTCTGCTTTGGACTAGTGTTATTTATCTTAGTCAATGTGTTTAGGGTGTCGCCATCGTATTGATTGTTGTAAGACTTCTTCCCTTTGCCAGAAACATAAGTTTCATTACCGGTCGCTTCAAAGTCCTCCCTATCGGCAGGATGCCTAGACGATTCGAAAACTAACTGACCCTTTAGTTTTCGATCGGAGCTGATGATGGTGGAAGTTCTTGTCGCGACCGAAGTTGTCGATGCAGACACCGCGCTGGTAATATTGGTCATAATTCGTCTATAAAAATCATTATTCGTATAAGTAACAAAGGATGTTAAAAAAAGGATCCTGTACAATCATTATAAAAACTGGATTTCGGTGGAATTGACTGGTTTTTTCCCATATATATATATTATATTTCAGTTGTAAATCAATAACTATTATTTAGTTTTAAATTAGTTGATTTTACAGAGATTAAATTTTATATAGAATTAATGCAAGATTGATAAATTTATATAAAAATAGAATCTATATAAAGAATTTATATAAAAATTTTAGATGAAATTGAATCCCGAGAAAATCGGTTTTCTCATGTTTATGCTCTGCTGAACAAAATATGTGTAATAGACTCAAAGCTAAATAATAAATAATAAAAAATAATCAGTAATTGTTTATTATTTAGCTTTAAGCCTATTACATTGTTTGTTCAGCAGATCATAAGCTAAATAATGAACAGTTATATGCTATACTCGGTTAAATAACTAGCAGAGCTTTTCGTGTTTAACTAGTTAGTCAAACACGAAAAGCTCTGTCAGTTATTAACCGAGTGTAGCTTAATAATTGTTAGTCAAACACGAAAAGCTCTGTGAGTTATTTAACCGAGTGTAGCTTAATAACTGTTCATTATTTAGCTTTGAAGCTAAATATGCATAATGCATTTCTTCTTCAGCAGATCATAAGTTACAATATATGAAAAAACCAACCTTCCATCAAAATTCCATTAATTTCCATAAAAATGATGCGGGATCTTTTCAACATTGCTCAGAGATTCTTCAGATTATAAAAAAGTATAAATAAAAAAACTTAAAATAAAATAAAAAGAACCAGAAGAGAAGGATCTTATACTTACTTTTCCGAAGTGTTACTTTGGGATTTAGTTGACGTCGCTGTATTTTGCGACAAATTGTTACTCTGCGCGAGAAGCGTCTTCGGTGAACGCTGCGGAGACGTATTCTTGTCGTTGTTATTCGGACTATTGTTCTTCTTCTTCTTTTTATCCTTCTTCTTCTTCCCTTGCTTCACGTCGTTGCTGCTACAACTGCCCTGACTGTTCGCGTCTATTCCGCTGTCGCCTTCCTCCCTGTCGGGATCCTCGGGGCTTCTGTTCATAGGCGAGGGCACGCTCTCCATCCTCTCATCGCCGCCCTCGTGCTCGCTGTCGTCCGCCCGGTCGCATTCCTCGTCGCCCGATTTCTTCCCGTTGTCCTCCTTGTCCTCGAAAGCCGTCTCGTTCTTCTTGTACTCCTCGTGAGCTTGCGCTTCTCCTCCTTCTTCTCCAGCTTCTTCTTCTTCTTCTCTCCCGTCGTCGCGCGGCGGCCGCCTTCTTCGATTCCTCCCTCGTCTTTTCCATGTCGAGCTCTTCCAGCAGAATCGTCGCATTCTTGTTCGCCTTCGCGGCCTGGGTCTCCTTGGCCGCTCTTATCACCTTCACGCACTCCTGACATTTCTCTAAGAGCTCCTTGTCGCTGACAGTCGCGATGTACCTCGTCATCTCCTGATCGCTCGGGAACTGTGTCACGTGATTCACCATCCACTTTACTACTTTAATGTGACCCTTCCGAAAAGCAGCCATCAAGCAGGAAACCTAATTGTGTCGCAGAAGATTTTGTCCGATTAGGAAGGGAAAAGAAATATTATTTACGAGATTATCTTCTGACTCATCATACCTTGCGGTTATCCTGCGAGTCGATATCTGCATTCGCATGATACAATAAATCCACGACACTGAGATGTCCGCCGTTTGCAGCCAACCATAATGGACTGTTTCCCTTTTTATTTTTACCTCGACTTGAGTCCCTCTAAAAAACCAAGTTGACGTTATCGGTGATACAGTCTGATGACAGTTTTATAATTCCCGGATGGTGATCTTGTTAACATGAATAAGTGTATGGGAAAGAGATTACCTCGTCAATAAGAGCTCTACGAAACGGCAGTGACCTTTATCAGCGGCGATAGTTAAAGCAGTATCGCGAGAAGATGGGACAGGAGTTGCGTTAACATCTGCGCCTTTGCTAAGCAACACCCGACCGACTTCAACGTATCCACCGCTAGCAGCCTCCATGAGTGGTGTTAGACCAGTCTTTGTAAAGGAGAAAAAATTATAGAATGCATTAAAAATGACGCATTTAAAGTGTTCCATTTTAAAGTATTCATTCAAGGGGGGCATAAAATAAGTGATAAAGATTTGACCTTAGGTAATCGTTTGAAGGTCTTCAATTTCTTAAATGGAATTACACATATAGGGTGTTTCATTTTAAAGGATCCACTCAAGGAAACAAAGATAGTGGTAAAGATTTGACCTTGAGTAGAGAGAGAGTCCAGGGTATATATTCAAATCTTAGAAATAAATTCCCCGAGGATTCCATGATTTTCCAGGTACTTTTGTTCAAAAATCCAGATAAAATTAAAGTATTTTAAATAATATTTAGAATATAATTTTAAAATAAGTTTATATGTTATACATAATTTTTAACATTTTCCTGAGTTCAAATCAAATTCCATGATAATTCCAGGATTTTTCAAGGTAGAACAAAATTCTCTGATAATTTCAGGTTTTTCCAGGGAATATACACCCTGTTATTCTATATTAATATTCTATATTATATTCTATATTAATATTCTATATTAATATTTATATTTTATTCTATTTTTTTTCTATATTCTTATTCTATATTTTATTTATATTTATATTTTTAATTTTGTCCAGACACTTGTCCCACTTGATGTTTCGTTATACATGTATTTCAATATATTACGTTGGATATGTTACCTTGGCTCGATGCTCGACGTTAGCTTTTCTATCAAGAAGAAGACTAACCACTTCGTGTCTGCCTTGGAAGCATGCAAGGGTCAACGCGGTATTACGGTTCGTCTCGATCTGGGCATTTATATCACTGCCCATGTCCAATAGTAATTTAACTGCCGCTGTAGCACAAATTCAAGATGTTACACATAATAAGGAATTGTTTTTTTGCACGCAAAAATTGAAGTTATCGCTTGGACAATTTCTCTATATCCTTAATAGCACACCACATCCGAAAGACATTCAGAGGATATCAAGAGATTATCCGGAGAACATTCAAACATCCTCAAGATGTTCTTTGATCGTCTTCGATATGTGTGCTGTTAGGGATAGCTTTAGCTGAACTAACTGCACTAATTTATTTAAAAAAAATTATATTATAATATAATTTTTATAATATAATATAATTTATATTATATTATAAAAATATTTATTTTTGAACTAAAATTATATTTAGTTTAAAAAAAAGAAACTCTGAACTAGTGCAACCAGTTCAACTATAAAGAACAAACTTATTATTTTCTTACCAGTATGTCCATTCATGGCAGCTAGCATAAGTGGGGATATGCCCAGTTTCGAGCCGGTGCGAGAATTAATTTCGGCACCGTGGCTAAGTAGAAGTTTTATGATATTCACATAACCGCCAGATGCTGCGAGACTCAAGGGAGTGTAATCGGAAACGTTGCGATGTTCCTTATTCGCGCCGCGATTAAGCAGCAGTTCGACTACCTCGTATCTGCCTCCGCTACACGCGAGAGACAACGGCGTGTCCTTGGTACGTTCAGATTGCGCTTCAATATCGGCTCCATGATTCAGAAGAATATCGACCACTTTCTGATGGCCGGCAGTTGCGGCCAAGATCAGTGGAGTAAATCCCTTCTTATCTCTATGTTCTGCAATAAAATTCCATGTAGTACTTCGTCAGCTTTTAGGTGGGGTATTTTTTTATATATTAAAAATTGTTTAGATAAAGGAAATTGAGAGAATTGTTTATAGAAATGTTATCTTAAACTTCAAGTGAATCGTATCCTCAATTATTTGTCGTACATGACTCTACACAATTTTATGGAAATTGGTGGAATTGGCTAGTTTTTTCATATATTGTAGCTTGTGTCCTGCTGAACACAAGATGTGATATTTCGAAGCTAAATAATGGGACTAAACCAGAGTTATGGAGCTAAACCAGCTGATCTTACCAAGATTCAATATTATATAGGATTAGTGCAGATTTTCTGAATCTACATAAAATCCTAGATAAAGTTGAATTGAATCCCAATAAAATCAGCAGGTTTTCTCACAAATTCTAGCTTATAATCTGCTAAACAAAAAATGTAATAGGTTAAAAACTAAATAATAAACAGTTACTGATTTATAATCGGTCAAACATGAAAAGCTCCATAACTGTTCACTACTTAGCTTTAAGGCTATTACATCTTTTGTTTAGCAGATCTTAAGTTACAACACATAAAAAAGAAAAAAGAACAGCCAAATCCAATTTCCATAAAAATTGTGTAAGATTCTACGTACCTCTTCTTCAAATATTTATAATAATCAAGTTGTTGAACCAATATGCATCGATATTTTGCATACCTATATCTGCACCGCGACTCAGGAGAAGTTCTACGAGATCTTCGTGTCCTCCAGCACAAGCTAAAGTCAACGCTGTGTCGTGATTGCTGTCAGTTTCCGAATCAACATCCATACATGAAAATGGAGTAGGTGGAACTTGGTTGGTCGTGTAGCCTCCAACTGCTGGAATAGAATTATATTGTATATTGATCAATTATTTGCATCATTGTTTGGTTTTATAGTAATTATAAATTAAATTAATAAAATTAATAAAATTTTATTAATTAAATAAAATGAATTAAAAAATTACACAATACAGGATGCCTACTCAATTTTGTAAAACATATTCTTCGACTTTCCAGGTTTTTAAATTCCCTGAATCCCAATCAAATTCTATGATAATTCCCTGATTCTTCAAGATTGAATAAAATTCTCCGAGTATATCTATACACCCTGTATGAGAATTCTTCAAGGAAAAAATGCCTGATTTTTTTCGGATTTTCAAAGTTTAGACACCCTGTGAAAATCCTATATGATTTCTCACCTGCAACTGGATCCAGTTGATAGTTTTGCGCCGGAAAATTCGAAGTTTGTTGAGCACTGGCAGTGCTTTGTTGTTGCTGGCAAGATTGCTGCTGCGAGAGGAGGGGATATCTGGTCTTCTTGCTCTTCCCCGTTATCGGGGCGGTGTACACTTGCTTCTTATCGACGGTTCCGATGTTCGAAGAAGTCGTGGTGGCAGGTGCCTGGGTCTGCGTGGCGACTTGAACTTGATTAGCGCTACAAGTCGTGGATTGCGTATAACTACTCGACTGGTGAGGTGGTATACTGTCTATTATTCCCGTTGCTCCGCTCACAGCTGGTAATGTTTGCGTAGGAAATGCTGAAAATGGAGAAATCGTTGCAAAATCACCGGAACAAAACCCAGACAGCCCAGGATAATCCGAGACATTTTTAGCATGTTTTAAGATATTATCAATATACATTTTACAAAAATTTTATATCCATATATGATTATTTTTGTTATGCAAAACAAGTTACATGCAATCTAAAATTGTTTTATCTTCAAATTTTTTAAATTTTGATAACTATCTTGAGCATATGTATTTTTTGAAGAAACTACAAAAATACGAAAAACTACTGATTATAATAATAATTCTTCAATAATGCATTATAAAAGAATTATTGTTATATTAGTTTTTTTTTTCATATTTTTATACTTTTGTGTAGCCAAACCTTTTTCCGATATAAAAATCAGTATAGACATCCTTTTCATATCCTATACAAGTCCTGGAATATCAAACAATTTTGAGGATAATTCAAAGATAAAAAATGAGCAATCATTTGCTCTTCCTTAGGATGTCTGAAGGAGGTCTTAGGATTAAAATAGGATATCCTGAGGATATTTGTTATATCCATATTGGACATCCTTTGGATCTCCAGAGGACATCCATGTGCTGTCTGGAAGGGAGATTACTTGATTCCTGGACCAACTCACTTATCTGAGAGGATTGAAGTAACAATTGGGTTGGAAGGTGTCGCCGCTAACATGCGACATACACTCACGAAAGTGCATGCTACCCTGACGAAAACCTTCCTCGAAGGCTTTTAAACGATGTTTCAGCACTGGATTTTGTAAGGATTGCGTACTCGTTAGTTGTAAACCCGCTGATATGTCTGCCTCTATCTGGACACCGGCGCTAGTGACTTGTAGCGACGGTAACGTAGGTAGGGAGGAGACCGATGGTACTGATAGCACAGGACCAGTGAAATATTCCTGAGACGCGTGAGGACTTCCGCTTTGCTGAACTATTTGAGTCTGCAAGTGCTGCTGCTGCTGTTGTTGCTGTTCTTTGCTGCTCGACATGTCCAATCTCTTAAGATCAAGCTTTTCTTGATTGTCCTCCAGTGCTACAGAGAGAAAACAAATTATTTTTTAACAATTTTATATTATATGTTATTTCAAGTTAAAAATATTATAATTAATAATATAAAATAATATAGAAAATAATAAAATAAAATAATATATAATAAATAACATATAATAAATAATTATAACAATATAAAATATAATGTAATTTCAAGTTAAAAATAAAATTATGCCAGTTGGGTCGTTAAAAATTATTTGATTTATTAGAAATAAAAAATATATATTTACTGTCAACTGCATCGTCGAAATTGATGGAGCGAAAATTTCAAATGCTTCATCAATAGGAATATCGGTACCATCTTCCAGTTTGAACACCCTTTCATTAGTGGAGAAAGTTTTAGATTTTTGTGCTCCGGTAAAAAATGCACAAGTATCCCTGTACTTTCGTAGCATTTCAGGATCCGTTGGTTCGGGAAGAATTTCTTGAGCCGATTGCTGTATAATATATATATATATATATATATATATATATATACATATATACAGGGTGTCCGGTAACTAACGGACCAATGATTAAGGGCGGATTCTCTGGCCGATTTGGAGACGATTTTTCCTTAGCAAAATTGTTGAGAAGTCAATAATTTTCGAGTTATAAGCGATTGAAAAAAATGGGTTTTTGAAAATTAAACGTTTTGGAGTTAAAAGTCTAACATAATTACATTCTTCAATTAATTTCAGGTAGAGTTTACTATAATAAAATTTTAATTTGAGGCTTAGTTATAAAGATACATAATGACAAATATTGGAAAGTTGTAAAAAATGATGACCTTTTTCGACATTTTCGCTGAGGAAAAATCGTTCCCAAATTGACCAAAGAATCCATTTGTAATCGTTGGTCCGTTAGTTACCGGACACCCTGTATATATATATTGTTAGTGTCTAACGTAAATCAAAATTACGACAATTTAATAGCACGTACCTGGCTATGCAAATGGTGATGCGTAGGATGCAAGTGCGGCATTAGTTGAGTGGGCATCATTATGCTATTCGTACTATTACCAATTACATTCGTTTGCTGTTGTAAATGAGATTGTTGTGCTTGCGATTGTGGCTGGGATTGTTGTTGTATCTTATATAAAGAAAAAAAAGATACATATATATTCATTTGAAAAGCAACATCTCAGAAGTAAGAAATTACATATATTAATAAAAAAATAAAAAAAAAGGGAGAGAGAGATTAAAATTGTTTCGTATCTCTTATTTGCATTTAAATTTACTAATTTAATTTTTCTACTAATATAATTATTATATATAATTTTTTAATAATAATAATTTAATAATAATTAATATATAAATAATATAATATATAATTTTTTAATAATATAAATTTGTAAGATAAGAGTCACTTTTCGAGATTCGTGGAATAATATAATTAATATAAATAACTGTAATTGAAATTAAATATTTAATCAATTATTACAAAATCTACTTTTATCAAAAACGTAAAAAAAGTATCATACATTTATTAATGCAAAATAAAATTTTCGGCATATTTTGTTATTCATATTATCATACAAAAAAAAGACTAATTTATATAATTTCTCGCATCTGACGTCGTAATTCAGTATATTGCAATGAGGAAATAAAAGGTTTAAATTACGTTACAGTCTTGCACTGCTTGAAAAGAACTCTGCACTAATAAAAATTGAATTTCAGTAGAATATGGTTAGTTTTTTTCACATATTGTAGCTTGTGACTTACTGAACAAAAAATATAATATCTTCAGAGCTAAATAATGGACAGTTACTGATTTACAACTAGTAAACACTTGCAGAGTCCAAATTTTTCGTATTTAACTAGCTGTAACTATCTATTATTTAGTTTTAATTTAGTTGATCTTACCAAGATTCAGTTTTATATAGGATTAATGCAAGGTTTATGAATTTATATAAAATTATAGATGAAATTGAATCCCGAGAAAATCGGTTTTCTCATGTTTATAATCTGTTGAACAAAAAATGTAATAGACTCAAAGCTAAATAATAAAAAATAAAAAATAAGAAAAAATACTGAGTAATTGTTTATTATTTAGCTTTAAGCCTATTACATTTTTTGTTCAGCAGATCATAAATTACAACATGTGAGAAAACCAACTGATTTTATCGATTCAATTTTATCTAGAAATCTTTTCAGTTTATCTGGCTGCACGAGTTTTAAAGTTTATCTTTTTCCTTCCAATGTGTAATAAAAAAGAACAGACCTAAGAATTTCATATATGATCAAAAATCCTGCACTAATCCTATATAAAATTGAATCTTGATAAGATTAGTTAATTTCCTCGTATATTATAGATTATGATCTGAAAAAATATAATAGATTCAAAGCTAAATAAATAAATAGATAGTTACCGAGCTAATTAACAATATATGTATATAAAAAATATATAAGATATGAAAGATTAAAAAAAAAAAAAAAAAAAAATATATAATATATATATATATATAAATATATGAAAAATAATACACATGAAAAAATATAATATATAAAAAAAACCAGCCAATTCCACCAAAATCCAGTTTTCATAAGGATTGTGCAGGATTCTTTACCGAACTAAGGAACAAACTACACGGATGAGAGTAAGGATCCACCTGCACTTGATCCAGCTGAAGCTGCAATTGCTGATTGAGCTGTTGCAGCTGTTGGACCTGTTGTACCTGATAAGAAGGGTGCTGCCGTTGCTTCTGCTGATACTGCTGCTGCAGCCCGGCCATGATGGTCGCCTGGGTCTGCTGCAGTTTCGCCATTCCCATGCCGGATGTCGCCTTCCGTATATTCTTTCCTTCCTTCTTAGACACCGGCTTTGCCTTCGGGCGATCGCTTATCGCAGTGTTCTGGCTGACGTCGCTGCTCGCGGTGATGGGCGACTGGGAGACGGCGATGATGGTCGGGGAAGTGGAGATGCTCGGCGGACTCGGGGTCGCCGTTGAGGAAGTGGTGATCAGCGGCATGGCGGTGGTGGCGGGTAACGGGGCGAGTGTCAAGGGGGGCGAAGAAGGAAAGGTGTCCGTGGGGAAGGTCTCCAACGTGCTGGGAACAGGCATCTTCGGGTAGTGCGCCGCGTTCTGCATCCCCATCAGCTTGCTGTCGATATAAGCGCTGCATACCAGAGCCGCGTCGCTGGTTCCGTGGTACGTCAATGAATTGCCTGTCATACCGGTGGTGTTGCAAACTAGACCTTTCGAGGAAGAAAATAATTAGATTGAAAAATTTTAATAAATGAGAAAATCTCATAAGGAGAAAAAAAATACCATGAGACGTCGATTGACCTGGCAAGTCGATATTCAGCACGCCTGGTAGCAACGTCTCGGTCTCGCTGGGATCCTGCTGTTGCTGGGACTGATTCACTATGGAACTTCGTGGACTCGAAAATATATGCCCCGCACTTTTCATCTGCAATTCCCGCTCTACCCTCTGTAGGATATAATTGTATAATTATATTATTCTTTATAATATTATAATATTATTACATATATATGTATAATATTATATATATTATTATATAATTATACAATTAATTTAAAAAAAATACGATAAGACAAAATATAATAATAATGCATGCGTGAAACATACTTGTAATTCTTCAAGTATTTGTTGTTTATGAATTATTTGCTCTTGTCTAATATTCTTTCGACTGTCGGTGATGTTTACTCCTTGAGTCGGCGCTGTCGATGTCGGGCTAAGACTAATGTTGGGTTCCGACAGACTCGTGAACCCTCCGCTGCCTTTATCGAGAATATTCGTGTCGTCCTTAGTAATGGCGGCCGGCTCTCCTGCAGGTTGTGACCGAACCTGTTGAGCTTCGGCGGAAGTAAGGCTCATGTCGGGCATCATAGTCACTGATCGATTCTTTCTCAATAATGACTTTTGTGTATTGTGTTTGAGTTGAAGATTTTGCGTTTGTTGTTCAGTCGTCTGTTGCTGCTGTTGCTGATGCTGCGGCTGGGTGGACGCTTGCTGAGGGTGAGGTGGTATATGTTGCTGATGGCTTATATGCTGCTGCTGCTGCTGTTGTGGTTGTTGTTGCTGCTGCTGCTGTTGTTGCGGTAATAACATAGATGCGGAGGCAGCACTATGTGGGGCATTCATCATAATGCTATGAGGATAGTCTAATAAAAGTTGAACAACAGCAGTATGACCACCTTTCGCCGCTTCAATTAGCATGGTGGAGTTATCCTACAATACATTAGATTATTATATTACATACTCAGAAAAATCTCTCAAGAGTTGTATAAAAATATGAGATACTTTGTTAATGTTATATACAAAATAGATTGAATGATCAATATATTAACGATTTTATTAATCTTATTAAATAATTGTTATTTATATATATATTATTCAATAATTATATATATTCTTAAATAATATAATATATCATTAAATAATACATTATTTAATAATTGTTATTTATATATATAAATAGCCTAAGTAGCAAGAATTTTGACGTCAAATGACGTCAGTTTGCTATTTGGCAGGTTAAAAATAAAATATAATTCTTATTTAAATGTTTCCAAAAGACGTACCTTCAATTTATGAAATGGATTTGCAGATTGTGCTAGAAGCAGTTCAACTACTGCAAGGTGACCACCAGCGCATGCCAATGAAAGAGGAGTGTGATCATTATTTGTCGTTTGTCGATTGACATCAGCTTGTTTCGAAATAAGAAATTGAACTGTGCAGAGATGACCCGCCCTACAAGCCTTCATTAGTGGTGTTCTACCACCTTCCGACTCATGCTCCTATAATACAAAACAAATTACTATAAATATTAATAAAAAATATTAATATTAATTAATTAATACTAATTAATTGATATTAATTATTATAAAAAAATATTAATAAAAAATAATTCGTACTTTGAGACAAAAAAAACTACCAAATAACTTAAAAATAAAAAATTGCAATTTCATAATTATATTTAAAAAAATGCATACTAAATCGGCATTGTATTGAAGTAAATGATCGGCGACGTCTGTATGACCATTCTCGCAGGCGTATGTCAAAGCTGTGTCCCCGGTTTGCGTCTGGGCCTGAACATCAGCATTGGAATCTAATAAATATCGCACGAGATCCAAATGCCCTTCTTGTGCAGCTTCCATCAAAGGAGTGGACGCACCCAATTCTATATCCGCCCCCGCCTTGATTAAAAAATCTGCAACTTCCAGGAAACCCCCACAACAAGCCAGGGTAAGAGCCGTTTCTTGAGTTTCTTCCGTTTGGGCGTTGATGTTTGCACCTTTATTAACATAATTATACATTACATATTTTAGTATAACACAATTAATATATTGCAATTTTTATATTCAGGGTGTATACTCAAATCTTATAAATAAATTTCCTGAGAATTCCATGATTTTTCACGATAGAACAAAATTTCAATTATTAGAAAAACTTAACGTACTGTTGAAAATTGGCTTGCATCATCGTTTTCAACATCCAAAAATTTATAAGAAACACCTTGTCTGGGTAAAAAAAAAAAATCTTAAAACGTACCTTGACTTAAAAGTAAAGCGACCATTTCTTCATGACCCTCGCGTGCAGCCTCCATTAGTGGTGTGTAACCTTCATCGTTGACTTCTTCGATGTTAGCTCCACGTTCAATCAAGAGCATTGCTAAGTCTACATGACCACCGCAAGCTGCTAACGTGAGAGGCGACTCGAAACTGTCGGTGGGCATATTTACTTGAGCACCTGAATCTAAGAGCAAACGGGCAACTTCCACATGACCATCCATAGAGGCTTCCATAAGAGCTGTATGCATCTCATCAGTTTTATGCTCCTGTAAACATTTTCGAAACTTAATTTGAATTAGTTAGATAAACGAATTATATTATTGTAATAAATTTTTATTTCTATTATTTAGGTGTTAAAATAAGAGAAAAAAATCCTACATCCTGTATAGTAATTATACATAATAACATATGATATAACACATATATATATATATATATATATATATATATATATATAATATATATATATATATATATATATATAACTATATATATATATAACTGTATAACTATAGTTATATATATATTATATTATTATATATATCATATGGTTATTATGTATAATTACTATACAGGATGTAGAAATTTTTTCTCTTATTTTAACACCTAAAAAACACTTAAAATATCTGACAAATTTTAGAAACCCTGTATATTATATAGTTTTTATAGTATATTATAACATATTTTAGATTTAAGATCACTTATATAGTTTTATTAGTATATTATATAGTTTAGAAACCCTGTATTATTATATAGTTTTACCATATACTTATTAAGAGCTGATTTTTCCAACTTGTTGGTAAGTTTTACCCGACAGGTAGCATATTTTTCTCTTTTCAGATAAATTCTAAAAAAAAAAGAGATGAAGATATGCTACCTGTTGGGTAAAACTTACCAAGAGTTGGAACAACTGGCCCTTAGATATTTTTATAAAAGATATACAGAGTGTTTGATAATAAAGATTGTGAGCAGGTAAAACACATAATTGGTCAATCATTTTATACATTCTTTATCATAAATCAATAAAGGAACTTTTCCTTAGAAAAGATAGAAATCGTCTCAGATATTTTAATTAATAGCACAATAATTATTGCAAATTTAGCAAATATACAGGATACAGGACTTTTCTTTTCCATTTCTATTGTTTCTATTGGTTTGCAGTAAAAGACATAAAATAATTGATCAATAAAACTTGACCAGACAGAAATTTTCTAAAGCAATCTGTCAAAAGTTCACATAAATAAATTATATATAGAGAGTCCTGTAATTCGCGCGAATTGGTCAATTCTTTTTAATTAATCACTCATTAATTCTTGCGAAAATCACAAATAATAGAAGATTTTTCTACTCAGTTTAGCACCTTGTAGAGTCAATTAGTTATTTCTTACTGGCACTTTTCTGTTGACTGTGTTTTACCTCCGCACAAATCTTTAGCAGACATCCTGTACATATAAGACAGAAAAAATATGTAAAAAATAACTAGACCAACTAATACAAGAGGGATATGCTATAGTAATGTTGCTAGCTATCAGCCAATCGCACCTCATTATCGACATATTAACACCGAGAGAACCCATTAAGAGATTAATTTAAAGTACATTTTAATAGACACAAATGCCATTTGATGAAAATGCTCACAAATAATCCAAATGCCTTTCTCTTTGAAGGTGGAAGTACATAAAATTACGAGAATCTGCATTCTGTCCTGTCATTTTAACGCTTCCACCTTCAGGAGACGTGCCTATCTCCTCGTAAGGTCAGAGATGAGAAAATTCACGCTAAAAGTTCTAGATTTCTAAATAAACAAATATTTCGGTGAAGCGGCACTTTAAATGCACCCTTAGCGCACTCTTAAGATACCTCGGAAACTATCATTTTCCTTCTTCCAACCGAGAAATGCACAGCCAATGAAATCGCTGCATTTCCGTAAAAACTGCACATTAATTGGCTACAAATTTCTGGGTCCGAGAGCTCGAATTAATTTCTAGAAGCGCGCATAAGGTTTTATAGTTGTTAGTAAATTATAAAGGGAAAATGACAGTTTCCGAGGAATTTTAAGATGGAGCTACCTGAAGTCCTGCTTTATTGAAATATTTTTTCTTTAAAAATGGTATCCAAGAATTTTTAGCGCGTCTTTTCTCGCCTCTGAACGTTACGAAGGTGATCATGACGGAGAACCAGGAGCCTTAAGGTGTCTTTTCACTGACGTTCAACATTAATTTTCCTGCCAGAAGATGACAAAAATTGACAAACTGGTTTCATTTTTGATTGAAAATCACTTGACCTTGAAAATGAGCGTCGAGCGTCACTATGAATTTGCTATTGAAATCTAACTTTTTTTTTCCCTGACGTTAGCATCAAATTGAAGTCACGCGACGAGGTGCAATTCTGAAACGAGAGTCCTATGACCTATGAATTCAAATCTATGTTTGGCATTAGAAGTACTTTAGACCAATAGAGATAGAAACATATTTCTTCCGATTGGTTGATTCCATTTATTTTTCCAGAAATTCCCTTATTTTGCAAAACCTTGTGTCCACAATGCTAGAACTCGGTCCGATTTTTATGGAAACAACAATAAAATTGCAAGACCAATCAGATTAAAAATATACAAGAAATAGGCGAGAAAAATATTGGTCCGAAAATCGGCTGAATCGGGAATCGAACCCTATTTCTTTACAGGGGAAGTTAAGAGAGGAACAAGGGGAATTTCTGAAATCCCAACCATAGGATACAAATTCCTTAGTTTCCAAATTTTCTTTCTTAATTGTCGCAATAATATTGCGTGTGGCTCTATTGGCCGAGATAAAGGAGGTGTATATTGTGTTTTTAAAATTTAAGAAGCCGACTTAATATTCTTATTATTGTCAATCAGATTAATTTTACAACAATTGCAAAGATGCTTTTTCTGGTGAACGCGGGTAATATTTCGGGAATTATTCGATCAACCAATCGAAGCAAATATTTTTCTATCTCTAGTGCTAAAAGTATTTTTGATGTCTAATAAAATTTTTTCATTTTTTGAGAAATGCAGAAAAGACGCTATTCTATATAATTTGTGGGTTCTTTGAGAAATTCCGAGAGAACTCCCTAAGAATTTCAAAGAACCCACTTTCATGACACAATGTATTTAATGAAATAAATAAACATACAAATGTGTGTGTGTATTTTTTTGTGTGATGTACTATGTACAAACAAAGTGGCGCAACATCATAAAAATCAGACAAATTTGCACTTCGGCATTATAGATCATGGATAAGAAAGTTATTACAACTTCTGTTCATGTTAGGTTTTCTCTCTAAGAATTCTTATTGTTAGAGAGAATTTCAAAAAACCCACTTTCATGAGACAATGTATTTAATGAAATAAATCAAAGTGCAAGTGAGGAAAAAATCATTTTGTATTATGTACAATTTCCTAATCATTTTGTTCACTGTGATAAAACAAACAGAGATATGATTTGATCATGATTTTTATACCTGGTCTGCGCCGGCTTCCAACAAGAAGCGTACCATCTCTAAGTGTCCTTTATAGCAGGCTAACGTTAATGCCGATTCTTTAAATTCATTAGAATGAGTATTGATGCCGGCTCCGTTATCAAGTAAGATCTTGGCAACCTGAACATGACCGGCACTCGCAGCTTCCATCAAAGGTGTATGACCATTCTCATTGTGATCTTCAACGTTAGCTCCTGCTTCTAATAAAACACGTACAACCTCCTCGTGCCCACCGGCGCAACCATACATAAGAGGTGTATTCCCTAAAATAAATATAAATATCATTAATACAATTAATGCAAATGCAAAAATATTTTTGTAATATATTATCCTCGAACAATTATATTCACCAACCTTCGGTATTTGCAAACGGAAATAACCCCGCACATAATCCTTATGATAGGGTGTATACTCAAATATTATATATTCCCTGGGAATGCCATGATTTTCCAGGTACTCTCTTTTGTTGTTCAAAATTCCAAGTAAAATCAAAGTATTTAAAAAATTTTAAATACAATTTTAAAGTAAGTTAATTTTTGTTATACATAATTTTTAACGTAAATAAAATATTTTTTAATATAATTTATAATATACGAGCAAAACTTTGTATTAATTGATTTTTTAATATAATATTATATTTTATAATAAAATATATTTTAATATACTTTATATATACTTAATAAGTTTTATATTCTTTAAAAGTATATTTGAAAATAAAATCAAAGGGGCAATTTTTTTTTAAATTCCCTGAGTTTAATAAATTCCATGAGTATTCCAGGATTTTTCAAGGTAGAAAAAACTTCCCCGAAAATTAGAAGTTTTCCAGACTTTTCCTGGGAGTATACATCCTGTTATGAAAATTAAATTTCGATAAAATTGGCTGGTTTTTTCATGCGTTGTAAATGAAAAAATCAGATGATTTGTCGGGATTCATTTTTATCTAGAATTTCATATAGATTTAAAAACCCTGCACTGATTCTATATAAAATAAAATCTTGATAAAACCAGCTGGTTTTCTCATATATTGTAGCTTATAATCCGCTGAACAAAAAATTAAACGTTTAAAATTAAATAATAGATAGTTATCGATTTATAACTAGTCAAATGTGGAAAATTTGAGTTTTACGAATTGACTGTCTGTAAATCAGCAACTATTTATTATTTAGCTTTGAAGCTTACATCTTTTGTTCAGCATATCACAAACTACGATACATGAAAAAACTAGCCAATACCACCGAAATCCAATTTCCATAAGGATTGTGTTGGGATCCTTTAGCACATAATTTAAAAAAAATCACAAATAAAAAGTAAATATCTACTACATAATTTTTTTTACCTGATGTAGACTGAGCATTGACATCTGCTCCATGAGCGATCAACAGACTCACTATATCTACATGTCCTGCACTGGCAGCTTCCATTAAAGGGGTACAGTCCCCTTTGATACCGCGATCTTCCACATTAGCATTCATTGCCAAAAGAACCTATTTTGTAAAAAAAAAAAAAAGAAAAAACATGTGAATTCATCTCTGCAAGAATAATTTCAAATAAATTGTAACTTATAATTGTATGATTATAACACTAACTTTTCATGTCAATGATTACATGTATAACAAATAAATAAAAAGAAATAAATAAAAATTTTAAAAATTTTAATCTAATAACATTAATATTTACATGTAAATGACAAATGTTTCTGAAGGTCTGTTTAGTTTCAATTGTTAATTCTTGGTTTCTCAATTATATTATAAAGCAAAAAATCGTGTGAATTTTTTTCTTGCACAAAATATGTCAAAACAAATTAGTTTTTTCATATGCCATGATCCATGTTTGATTGTATAAATTGATAAAATATGCCAAAGATACAAGATAAATAAAGCTTAACCATAAAAATCATTTTTACAGTATAATATATATAAAGATTAAGTTATGCATGCACTCATTAATAAAATAATAAAGAAAAGAGGATGTTAAAAATAAGCCATTTTTTTATTCAAAAGCAGAACCTAAATTTCACACACACACACACGCACGCACGCACGCACGCACGCACGCACGCACGCACGCACGCACGCACGCACGCACGCACGCACGCACGCACGCACGCACGCACGCACGCACGCACGCACGCACGCACGCACGCACGCACACACACACACATACACAAAATACCATCAATTTCACACATAAGAGACGCACTACATATTCTTACCAAATTTTTACCTAAAAAAGGTTCCTTTTTGAAAATAATTTATGCAAAATAAAGGACCCCGCAGTTTTCTTGGATAAAATGAGTTTCATAGAAATTGGCTGAAACTCTGGCATAAGATAGCCCAAAATATGCTAGAGAAAAGCTGTCATTATCAAATCAATCCTATGTATCATTTTCGAGTTATCGACGTTCAAATATGAAAGTAAATATGTTGTATATTTCAAATAATACATATATACAGTGTACTTTTTTGGACTTCCCCACCACCACTGAGGTCCCAAACTTGGCGCGTTAGATTTTTTTATAGTGATTCTTCGCCAGTAGCCCTATGCTCCACTGAAACCCTCCTACATCTCAATCAACCCTTATTAATAACTGGATTTATTCGATTGTATTCTCTTATAAATCATTTATCTTTGCTTCATTTTGTGTATTTAATTGTCGCGCCAAGTTTGGGACCTCAGCGGTGATGGGAAAGTCCAAAAAAGTACATTGTATATATGTATTATTTGAAATATACAACATATTTACTTTCATATTTGAACGTCGATAACTCGAAAATGATACATAGGATTGATTTGATAATGACAGCTTTTCTCTAGCATATTTTGGGCTATCTTATGCCAGAGTTTCAGCAAATTCCTATGAAACCCATTTTACCTAAGAAAAGTGCAAGGTCCTTTCACAATTTTACAATCAAACTTTATTTATAGAGTGCCCCATAAGAAATTGCTGAAAATAAAAATTATTTGTCCACCAGGTCCGGGATCAATAATAAATCTTGATTTTCATAACTTTCCCCGGACTTGATGAACAAATAATTATTATTATTATCTGCTTCTAGAAGATTCCAAAAACAGTTTTCAATGGTTTGATTTAGGCTCCGCTTTTGGGCCAAAAATGGCTTATTTTTTTTTAAATTCTTTTTGTTACATTTTACTAATTTGTATTATCAAAATGCAAATAGTAGAATACAAAAAAATTAATTTATTTCGATGTATTTTAAGAGAAAAAAATTCTTTTAAAATCATAATGTAGCTGCAATAATGAGGGAATAGTAAATTTAATTAAAATAACTAAAAAATTTTAGCTAATTAACATTCATTCACGAGTTTTATACAGTACACACAAAAAAATATATATATATATATCTGCAGATTAAAAAGAAATAAATATATTGAAAATATTTTTCAATGTAGGTCTTATAAAACTAAAAGATTTTCAAGATAAAAAGATATATGTGCCATTATTAAATAATGATATTTTTGCAATATCTGAATTAATTTATAATAAACAAATTGAAATTATATATCTGAACATAACATGCCAATAAAAACTTTGTAACATTGGCGCAATTATTTCATTTTGAATTGCGTTTTTTCCAATATATATATATATATAATAATAATAATAATACCACCACCAATTTCACATGAGAAACACACTACATATTTTTACTTTTTTACTTAAAAAAAGGTTTCTTTTTAGAAACAATTTATACAAAATAAATTTCACAATTTTATAATCAAACTTCATTTATAGTGTCCCATAGGAAATTGCTGAAACTAATCAGCTGTTATTTTTTAATGCAAGCAGTTATTGAGAAAACAAAAATTGTGTTGAAAAGAGAAAAGTATGCAGTTTTTAATGGATATAAATAAAATGTTTGTGTACCAGTTTATTTTATTGAACAAAAATAATGAAAAAAGTGCTAATAAAATCACATATGTAAATTAATGATAAATATTTTCGAAGTGCGCACCATTTGAATTTGTACAAAATTCTGTTCTTTTATGAAAACTCGTAAAAACTTTTTCCAACATGTCATTTTTAATGTTATGACAATGCTTTTAATAACTGCTATTAAATTTGGCACTGTTGAAAATATTTATCATTAATTGATGTGATTATTAGCATTCTTTTCATTACTTTTTATCAATAAAATAAATTGGTATACAAACATTTTATTTATATCTATTAAAAACTGCAGACTTTTCTCTTTCCAACACGATTTTTGTTTTCTCAATAACTACATCAGGGTGTATACTCAAATCTTAAAAATAAATTCCCTTAGGATTCCATGATTTTCCAGGTACTTTTGTTCAAAATTCCAGGTAAAATTTAAGTATTTTAAATAATATTTAGAATACAATTTTGAAATAATTTGTCATACATAATTTTTTAAGATAAATTAAGTATTTTTTAAATATAATAATGTAATATTGTATTATATTATAATAAAATATATTTTAATATATACTTTACATAAAACTAATAAATTTTATATTCTTTAAAACTATATTTTAAAATCAAAAGGGCAATTTTTAAAAAATTCCCTGAGTTCCAATCAAATTCCATGTTAATTCCAGGATTTTTCAATGTAAAACAAAATTCTGAGAATTCCAGATTTTTCCAGGGAGTATACATCCTGTACATGCATTAAAATATGACAGCTGATTAGTTTCAGCAATTTCCTACAGTACACTTATATATTACACACACTGTAAGATATATATTAAATGTGTGTACCAAAAAAACTTATTTATCCAGTGGCATGCACTTTAACAAAGTATCTCTTTCAAAATGAGCTTTGAACTCTGCACAACAACAAATAATCAACATTTAGCAACAGGGATGGATCATCCTTCGAGGAGGCAAGAAAATACGTTTGATCTCGATGCACACCTGAGCAAGCTCGTAGTAACCTGCAGAACAAGCTAAGGAGAGCAAACTTTCTCCCTCCTCGGTAGTCTCATGAACGCTCCGACCCTCGGTCAACAATTTCCGAACAGTACCGACGTCCCCGTCGGTGCAGGCCTCGACGAGAGAACGTTTTTCGTTCGGCGTACGTGGATTGTCACTGCGCATACGTGTTAATGCGGCCGCGGCCTCGTCTAATGCACAAGAAACACTGGATGTTAAGCGACGTAACACCTCGTGATCGGCCAAGTGCTTGCCATCACCCGACGACAGCTTCCCGATACCGGCCGCCTCCAAGAGCGCCTCCAGACGCGCTTGGGTCTCCGGGTCTACGGAACGCTCGGGGTCCTCGGGTGTTAACAGAAATTTCGACGATTCAGGATGATCTTCGTCCAATTCTTGGTCGATCGCAAAACACTCCACCTACAAGCAAACGTATCATTAAAGAGCTGAACATGGAAATGCAAGAAATATCATATAATAAAGTAGCAAACTGACATCATTCAACGTCAACTTACTACCTGGGTATATATATAATTATGTAAGATGATCCTGAAATATTTGATCAAAATCAGATATTGGGTTCATCATAAGAATTAAACAGACTCGCAACTTCTGAAAAAGGCACTTTTGGACTAATGTTCATAAGAACTTTTTTCATTGTTATGACAAGCCCAATCGATCCCTGATATTGACCAAGTCAGGATCATCCTGTACATCTATAGTATATACTTTACATTGTTAGAAAGCTAGACAGTACATAGCAATGCCAAAAAATCAGATATTGAGCTCGTCATAAGGATTAAACTGACTCGCAACTCCTGAAAGAGGCATTTTTAGACTGATGTTTGTAAGAACTTTTTCCATCTTTATGAGTTCAATCAATCCCTGATTTTGACTAAGTCAAGATCATCCTATACATCTATATTTTATACTTTATAATGTTAGAAAGCTAGACAATATATAGCGATGTAGAAAACATAAGAGAATAAAGAAAATTATATACATCGCTGAGTATGTATATAAAAGGTACGTTCCAATATTGAAAATCTGTGATGTACATGATGTTACACATCCTTGTATTTTCTTTATCTGTATCGTCACAAAGATATCACATAGATGTTGTAACCAATGAGCTGAGAGATGTATAAAATCGACATCGCAGTAGAAAAGATTGATCCCTGGTCAACGGAAGATTAATCCAGAACACAAAATACGCCTTACAGATGACATCTCTCATTTTATCTCCGTCACTCACCCACTCACAAACAATAGTACACACATTTCATATATACATATATATACTCAGCAATGACAGGATATTCATATCCACAAACGCATGCAAGAGGAAACCGGAAGTGCGAGACAATGTAAAAAAAAAAAAAAAAAAAAAAAATCGGAAATGCGGATATAAAAGTGCGTTATAGGCTAGATCGAGTGACGCTTCATCTTTTGACACTTGGATCTTCTTCTCCAAAGAGAAGAACGAAGGATCGCGATATACACTTCCTCCACGAGACCGAGTCCACGGTTCCGCTCCGCATACCTGCGCACCGTCCTCCCATTTGTTCGCCTCTTCCCCTCCCGCCCTTCCCCTCGCGAACTTATAATCATCGGCGGCAGCGCGAGCGCGTCAGCCTTCTCCAGGAGAGCCCGCAGAAGTGACAGGAGGGACGCGCTATCGGGCCGCCTCTTCCTCTCGTCTCGTCTCGGCGACGTGACGGAAGACATTTAAAAGGGAAGGAACGCCGTTTCTCGATGGGATATGATATACTATGTGGAATATGGTGGCTCTACACGAGTGAAATAAGGCAAGGTACACAATTATGTATGTTCGCGAACTCGCGAAGAAGAGAGGGTAGAGAATTTTTGACGTAAGAGCTAATAAGCTTGACAGGTTGATGTGTCAAGTGGTGGAGAGACTTACGATATTTGGACTAATCGACGTCGCGAACGACTCAACTCGTGCGGACAGACACTCACTCGCGAGTGATGTGAGAGAACACGACATATATTATGAGAAGTCCGCTAGATAGCGCACCGATTGAGATGTGAACGAACAAACGCGGCGGGCAGGCATGCTCGCGACTCACACATATTCTATGTGTATTGGTATGTATACCGGGTGTCCCAGACTTGTGTACAGGGTGTATACTCAAACCTATATAAATAAATTCCGATTTTCCAGGTGTACTTTTGTTCAAAATTCCAAGTAAAATTAAAATATTTTAAAAAATTTTAAATACAATTTTAAATTAAGTTTATTTTTGTTATACATCATTTTCTAACACAAATAAAATGTTTTTAATATATTTTATTTTATAATTTAAATACAATAATAATAAATTTTAAATACAATTTTAAATTAAGTTTATTTTTGGGTCCGATGCACCTGGGAAAAAGCTAACGATAAATCGTAATCTTAATTTGAAGTTGCCGCTAATTTCAATACAGTTCAAATTAAGTTTATTTTTGTTATACATAATTTTCTAACATAAATAAAATGTTTTTTAATATAATGATATTGTATTTTATAACAAAATATATTTTAATATACTTTATGTAAATCTAATAAATTTTATATTCTTTAAAGGTATATTTGAAAATAAAATCAGAGGGGCAATTTTTAAAAAATAGGGAATTTATTTCCAAGATTTGAGTATACACCCTGCTACAATGTGTTGTGCTTGGTGGATTTTTTAAAATTAGCTGGATAAAGATGAGATGTGAAAATTTATCTTAGATAAAATAAAGATGATTTTAGGAATTAGATTAAGGATTTTAAAATTAGTTAGATAAAGATAAGATAAAAATATGTAAAATATTTTATTTTAAATAAGATAGGGATGATTTTGTCGTAAATGTATCTGGAGATGAAAGATAAAATTATATAGCGATATGTTTATCTAAATAATTTCCAGATAATATTATTTTTAAGACCGTTTATGTCAAACGTATATGTATATGTATGTACAGGGTGTCTCAGATTTGTGTACAGTATTGTGCTTGGAGGATTTTTAAATTAGCTGGATAAAGATAAGATAAAAATATGTAAGATCTTTTATTTTAGATAAAATAAAGAGATGATTTTGTTATAATATATCTGAATGAAAGATAAAATTATATAGCAATATATTCATCTGGATAACTTTTAGATAATATTATTTTTAAGACCGCTTATATAATGCTGTTGTAAAAAAATGTAAATTATAAAAGAAATATAAAAGTATATTCATACTTTTATTTATATAAATTTTATCGCTTACTACTTGTTAGTTCTACTATTTAAGTATTTTTATATGCTATGACTCAACCAAATTATTTGAACATTATTCTAGATAATTTAGTAAAAATAACACTTTTTTCACCTAAGATGTACATATAAATAATAGATATTTTCATTATCTATATAAAGATGAAATTTCATCATATTTAGATAATCTGTATAATTTTATTTAGATAACAGCAAACACTGCTAATGTATCACCCGTTAATGAGAGATTTCTGAGGTTGTTTATCAAGACACCAATAATTTTCGAGTTATAAGCGATCGAAAATAAGGGATTTTTGCGAACTAAGCTTTGTGGAAATAAAATATTAACAAAACTACACTCTTTAGTTAATTTCAGATAGAGTTTACTTCTTTAATGAATTTTAATTTAAGACTTAGTTACAAAAATTACATAATGACAGAAATTGGGAATATGTAAAAAATGGCCTTTTTCGACATTTTCACTGAGGAAAAATCGTCTCCAAATAATCCTAGGATTCTACCATTAATTAGAGACACCTTAAATACAAATTTATTCTAAATAAGAGCGAAAAGAGACAATTCTTTGTAGAAAATTAAGTGAAGTATAATATTTCATAAAAACATATATACTCCAATGGGGGAGATGAAAATTATAGCGAAGTAACATACATTAAAGATTATCGTACACAAATTTATAATTTATAATATATAATATAAATATAATATAATAAATTTATAATATAAGTAATGGAAATAGTAAGATAATTATATAATAGTACGAAATATTATTTGTATTGTTATATAATAATATATATTAAATATCGATTCAAATAATGACAATAATATTATTTCTTAGTGTTAATTATTTTACTTTTTAGTTATTTATGCCGTTGAAATTTATGTGCAATAACCTTTAATGTGCATTAGTGCATTCAACTGAATTTGGTTAAAAAACCTATTAGGTTTTTTTCCCTCAAATTTTAGAAGTTAAAAAATATTCCATTTTTTCAATGTTTACCATAGATATATAATTTTTTATTTTCTTATTAATTTTAAACTTCTTACGACTCAAGACCTATATGTCAATTAGCATCCTGCTGCATAATGTATTTTATTTTTTTCTTGAAAACTATTGATTTTGCAAAAAATAAAGTTTCTAAAGGAATCAAGCTTTCTAACGCATACTTCTGGGTCATATTCCGACTCAAATTTTAATTAGATAAAAAGTAAATAAGGATAATTTCATCTTCTTATATAACGACACACGAGGATTAAAAAATATTTATAAGTAATCCCTTTACTAAAAAATATTTATAAGTATCCCCTTTAGTAGAAAATGTTCATCAAATTTCATCTTTCTTAACTTGTCCAACATTCATAGACGGCACCAAGGATGGGCCTTGGTAGGCCCTGGTCTACCTAAAAATATCCTGGCCCAGCCTTTGACCCATCCTAAAATTATACTATTTCACTCTGTTCAAGTTATAAATAATATAATAAATAAATACTTTGGCCCACCCATATAAATGATAGCCCACCTGCATGAATAATTCTGGCGCCGCCTATGCCAAAATTTGAGAAAAAAAATAGAAACCTTCAAAAATTTGTATCTGCCCCTTTAGAAGGATGGTCCACAATAAGTAATTTAAGTTCTAAGCCTTAAGAAATTGACCAATCACAGTCAAGTAGGAGGAGAATACTCGACTGTGATTAGTCAATTTCTTAAGGCTTAGGGTTTTAAATCACCTATTGTGGATCAGGTCTAACTCCTCAGGGAAGAATATAGGCGTATTTACGTGAAAGACCTTCTTCTCAAAGGGATCCTAAAGCTGTCTTATTTTACCGAAAAAACGATCATTTTTCTGCATCCTTTTCTTTTTATTGGTTTAATAGAATAAATGCTTTTAATTTTTTTTTGTTTTTAACATAAAATCGATGTGTTCCGACTTTGTTTCTAAATGTACTTTAATCGTGGAAAAGCGTTCATTATTCTATTCAACCAATAAAAAGAAAAGATGCAGAAAAATGATCGTTTTGTCGATAAAACAGAAAGATATTAGGATCTATGTTCTATCTAAGGATAATCCTACTTGTGGCTTATTCTAGTGAGTAGTATAGATGATCAAAAACCATACTGAAATTGGTTTCCAATCGTACTAACCGAAAAAATTTACAATTGAAAACCAACTTTAGTATATATAGATTCTATAGTATTTTATATAAACGATCAAAAACCATACTGAAGGTCGTTTTCAATTGTAAATTTTTTTCGGTTGTGGTACGGTTGAAAACCAACTTCAGTATAGTTCCTGATCGTCTATGTTACTCATCGGAACAAGTTACAAGTAGGATTATATCTTTAGATATATAGGGCATACATTTTCAACAAAGAATCATCTTCCTAAAATTTCTCGCACTCATTTAGAATCACCTTGTATAAATGATGTACGATATACAGGGTGCTCAAAATTAATAGTAAATCTGTTAATGCAGATTCCTGAAATCATTTGGAGACGATTTTTCCTCAGCGAAAATGTCGAAAGAGTCCATCATTTTTTTACATGTTTTCAAATTTTGTCATCAATTAAACCTTAAATAAAAATTCTATTAAAGTAAACTCTACATGAAATTAATAAAAGAATGTGATTTTGTTAATATTTTATTTCCACAAGGTTTAGTTTGCGAAAAACCCCTTATTTTCAATCGCTTATAACTCGAAAATTATTGGTGCCTGAACATTTTCGCTGAGGAAAAATCGTCTCTAAATCGCCTCGAGAATCTCCCATTAACGGGTGACACGTTAAGTTTGGGACACCCTGTATACTCATGATAGGGACAGGAGTGTAGGAGATCGTATACGCATCGTATGCATACAATGTGTACGTATATCCCATCGCGTGTATATCCCATATACGTGGCATGATACTTAAATATATATTTGTATACGGCTTCCTGTACGCGCGCGTTTCATACACGCCGGATGAACGTGTGCGCACGCGCGTGCTTATGCGGAGCACACTAGGCTCTAGCCTAAGAGAGTACTTTAACCAGTCTATGCAACATGCATACACTCGCACACGTCTCACTTATACATACATTCATTTTTCCCTTCTCCTTCATACTGTCTCTCATTTACTCGCCCTCTCTCCTTCCTCCTCCCCCTCTCCCCTGCTTTTACTCTCTTCCTCTCTCTCTCTCTCTTTCGTGGAACACGTAGAGATGCCAAGAAGAATGGGAATGGCATTCGGATACTGCACTCTTTGATGGTTGCGTCCCGATCCTCTCAACATCAGGATCAAGTTGTTGCGAAATATGCAACAACTTGTATTTTAGCAAAAAAGAAAGAAAGAGAGAAGACAATGGAAATTATGAGCGACAAACAAAGAAACAAAAGGAATGATAAAAAAAAAAAAAAAAAAAGATGGAACCTAAGTTGAGGTCGACAATTCAATTTTTCCATGGTGGACAATCATTAACACACATACATGTGTTATCTGGTTATATAACTTCTTTCCCGGAGAGTGAATTTTCCGCTGACATTCCTCCTTTCTTTCCTTCGTTCCTCTTACGTTCGTTACACGAACGCGAGTTAGCCATCTACACACCTTAACCAGCAAAGCGAAGACATTCGGTAGCTGATTCAACACAATCGAACAACGGATAAACTCGGGACTGAAACGGAAAATGAAAGAGCACCGATATTCTTAACGCGAGTGTCCATTGATGATAATCGTCGGTTTACCGAGTTCTGTTTACATAACTCCAATTTTATAAACCTACTGCCCTAAATTACCCCAACGATGTGATATGATCAAAATCTCTTGATCAGGATTCGTTTTAGATCGAGCTCTGTATTGAATCAATTAAATTTTAGCTAAATCCTGATATAGCACAATTTCATGACTTTTTCTAAATATGATTCTGAAAATAATTTGCTCGACAGAAAAATTAGTAATTTATAAAACGGTTCTGATTCGTTTTCTCTTTATCCTATTTACCTATAATAGAAATTTTGACTTATATAAATTCTTAAAGCATGCTGTTATTAATTTGAAAGAAAAGAATAGTCATTAAAAAAAATTCAGACTGTAGAAAAATATTGTGTTTAAAAAGACAGATATTGGTACTAAAAAAAGTGTTCTTTTTTAATTAGCGTCATTAAAATCTAAAATTCGCGATAAGCATTTTGTAATGCTGAATTAACATGCAATGTTTTTAGCGTTTTTATAATTTTTCTTAAAATGTAGATAAACAAGAAAAATTAAATAAAATTTCAAATTAATGACAATTTTTTATGTTCACAATTCCAACCACATTGTAGATGGAAAAGAAGAAGGAAGCTAATTGAGGTTAGTGTTTTAACCAAGAGAGTGGCCTGAAATATGGCGAGAGATTGGCTTTGGTTGCAGTTGGAATAAATAATTTTAGATCAGTGATTCGATTTCTTCTAGGTTATGTTCACGGTGCAAGGAAGACTGTGAGTCAGTGATGTACTAGCTATAATGTACGATCGGCCATAGTTGCAAATCTTAATTAGCCTCTAGCTAATTTAGAGATTAGCTAATTTAATAAAAAAAAGTCTTGTCTTTTTTTTTTATTCTTTAGGTTATAATCTACATTCGCGCGTATAATAAAGTAGAGATAAGGAAAAACAAATTTTCCTGAATCCGAATGCTAATAACGCACGATGCGACTCGCACAATTTGTAGTACCAATTTCTCTAAAGTATCCTCAATTACACATCAGATAAAGTGGATAAAACTAATGAGAAGACGGCGCTAATCAGTCGTCGCATATCACCGATAAAATTCTTCGTTTTCTCGCATCTTTCAAGCTAAGCCAATTTAAAACTTACGTTTTCAAAATAATTAAATCTGATTTCCAAATTAAGTTTTACAATATTAACATTATAAACAAGCGAAAATGTTTTCATTCTGCGTGTGGAAAAATACGTTAAATATTTTAAACCGAAGAGTAGTGAAGTTGGTTCAGGACCAATTTTTCGGATTTATACGTTTATATATTTACTGCAAATTAATAAGATTAAAATCATTTGCGCCTTATAAACAAGTGATGCGTTTTACATGCGTGAAAAAATCCTTTTTTTACACACGTTATATATATATATATATATTAAATATTTCAAAGCTTCTTCGCGAAACATAATGAAGTTATAAGTGTAAAGTTATAATTTTTTTTCGAGTTATAAGTGATTAAAAATAAAGGATTTTTCGCAAACTAAGTCTTGTGGAAGTAAACCTAGATTTTCTTTAGCTAATTTCAAGTAGAGTTTACTTCAATAGAATTTTAATTTAAGGCTTATTGTTACTCAAGTAGCAAACTGACGTCATTAAATGTCAAATGATGTTATTAGACGTCATTATGGCCTCTCGACATTTTCGCTGAGGAAAAACTCTTTCCAAATAACCTCAGGAATCTCTCATTAACGAATGATAACGGTAAGTCTGGCACAATCTACAGTTCGGGAAAATTTTTCGTATTTGTTGGCAATGCGATAGTATTACATATTAATGGAATATCGTCTCTCTTTCGGACATAGATGACGATGACACAAGATCGTCATCTCGCACAGTTTTTCCCACCTCAAAGGACACGCTCTTTTATACGTGTATACCGTGCACATGAATGCAAACTCATATGCATGGAATTTGTACGAATACGTACCTAGAAAGAGAGAGAGAGAGAGAGAGAGAGAGAAGAGAGAGTGTGCGTGTAAGCTCACGCATGTATACGCGCACGCGCGCGCGCACACGCTTGTAAATCGTGTAACGTAGATCGTTACAATCGATTCAACACAAGTACAAACCATGTATAATATTGATATCATCGATATACAATAATATACACCGCGCGAGAGATGTACGAGTCGATTAGAAATAGGAAAAATAGGCATAAAAAAGGCACACATGTATGTATGTGTGTATGTGTATATGTGAATTCCAGCGAATTCCACTGTATATATTGACGCGAAATCGAAACATTCGCGAGATTTAGCCTGCGCATTTGCCCTAACAGCACACATATTCCGAAAACGTTCAGAGAACATCCTGAGACTGTTCGAATATCCTCTGGATATCCTCTAAAAATCCTCTGAATATCTTTCGGATATGTTGTGCTATTAGGGTGACAATGTCGATGATGATGATGATGATGTATAAAGTTCGACGTCGCCTAAAGCGACGATAAAAAAAAAAGAGACGAGACCCGCGTAAGATAATTCGTAATTCGCCTAGAAATTCGCAGAAATTACATTCTCACACACACACACGAGTACAGACAATCATATACATTTTTTTTTTCTCTCTCTCTCTCTCCCTCCCCATTCCTCTCTTCCTATTCGTCTCTCCCTTGCTCTCACATCCTGTTTCTAGCATAGGATGTACGGATGTCTTATCACAGGTCTTAGTAGAAGCTCTCTTTCTCTCTCACTTACCTCGGAAACGCTGTCCTCTTCGCTTTCCGACGAGTCAGTCATAAAACGTGGCTGCAGTTCCGAGTAGGTCTCGGTTTCCGATTTCGTCGGGCTCGAGTTCGAGGACTGGGGAGTCGACGAGGTCTTTCCAGTATTGTCCTGGTAAACTAACGCCGACGACGATGACGATGCTGGCGCGGACTGCTGCCTCTCGTGGCTGCTGCTTTTCTGGCTATCCGAGGTCGTTCCTTGTACTACATTCTGCATCTTTACTCCCCAGATAAATCATATGATACAACACAGTTTTTAGCCCCCTTTGTATACTGGATACGTAACGCACCGTACGCACTCTCGCTTGCCCCTTTTTTCTCTTTCTTTCTTTCTTTCTGGCTCTCCGCGCGATCGCGGCGACGATATATTACGGGGACCCTCTCCGTAGAGCGAGGATAGTCGTCATTCACGTAAGCTAGTAACCGCCATTTTCACTATGGCGACGACGACACGACGAGGGACGAGAGAGTCGGGAGTCCCGAATACGCTTATTTCCCCCGGACCCGAACGAACGTCGTCGGTCAGCGCCCGAGCGCGATATTCGCGATATTCCGATATTGCGCTCGCGACCGCAGTGCCACCAAGTGGCGCGAAATTTAAATTCGGGAAGTTTGAGTCGAACGTCAATGGGCGGAATTATATACTCCGTTCTTATATTTAAGATCGTCTTAAGACGTCTCGTTCAACCAATCAAGAGATGCTATGCGGCCATTTGATTGGTTGAACGAGATCTCACAAGACGATCTTAAATATAAGAACGGACTATGAATATTGCCCATTAAGTGCGCGCGATAGAGAAAGTATATTAGAAAATTGAAAGAAATACAAGTGTTTGCTGTTATTTAAATAGAATATATAATTATAATAATAATAAATATAATAAATAAAATTAATAGAATTAATAGAATAAAAAATATAGATGATTATCTAGATGAAACTTTGAGAGACGTTATCTTATCTTATATAAATAATAAAAATATATATAAAATAAAATATGTTTTTTATCTATATTATCATATCTAAATATATAAAATATATTAATAATAATAATAATAAATATAATATATAAGATAAATATAGATGATAGCAAAATTTAAATTCGGGAAGTTCGACAAGTGTCAAGTGCGCGCGATTGAGAAAATATATTAGGAAATAGAAAGAAATATATGTATTGAGTATATACAGTGTTTGCTGTTGTCTAAATAAAATATATAATTATAATAATAATAAATATAATAAATAAGATTAATATGTGATTAATAAATAAAATATAGATGATCATCTCGATGAAACTCTTTGACGTCATCTTATATCTTTATTTATATATATATATATATATATATATATATATATATATATATAATAAAAATATATAAAAAATAAAATATGTATTATCTATATCTGTATCTTAAATGAAAAAATAAGTATTATCTTTACTAAATTAAATAAAATAATTTTCAGATAACTTTAGTTTAGAATTATAGCACATAAAATTAGTTAAATAGTAGAACTTAAGCAGTAAGCGATAAAAATATAAATACATATATTTTTGTCCCTTTTATAATTTATATATTTTTTTTAACTGTGCGATTACATAAGCAATCTTAAAAATTATCTAGATGAATCGTATAATTTTATCTTTTATCTAGATATGTTTAAAACAAAATCATCTCTATCTTATCTAATTGTAAGATAAATTTACATATTTTTAACCTCATCTTTAATTAGCTAATTTTAAAATTATCTAAGCACGATACTGAGTATATAATATATAATTGTAAAAAAATGTAAATTATAAAAGGAATATAAAAATATATAGTCATACTTTTATTTCCAAGTTTTTATCGCTTACTGCTTAAGTTCTACTACTTATTGTTAAATATTTTGATGTGCTGACTCTAAAGTAAATTATCTGAACATTTTATTCTAGATAATTTAATAAAAACAACACTTTTACGTCATTTTTAATAAACACTGAAAAAGTTTTTAAAAATTGTTTTTAATTAGAAAATGGAAAATTTTGTTTTTAAAACATTATTATATATATATAACTTAAATAAGCTTAAATAATAAATGGATATATAACATATATGTACTTAGTTTTAGATATTTTTATCTCAAATTTTATTTAAATACATTTTATGAGATAAAAAAATTTTATTTTAACAAACTTCATAATAAATTATTGATTATTGGCATACTTATTTTTATTATACAAATGATTCGATGTTTATTTCCATAGCAGAACATGGGACATTTAATTCGAACTTTGAAAGTACATCTGGATGTAAAACTCCCATTTTTCCTATTACTTCACCATAGCAAACAATTTCAGCACACCGTTGAGGGAAGAATGTTGGGTCTGTAAAAAATAATGAATACAATAAATTTCTAAAATTATAAAAATGTTTCTTTTGTATTTGAAAACTAAGCATATTTTATAAAAAAAAGGATAATATATCCATCTTACCATCAGCTGTACGCAAATAATATCCGGTTTTGTCTTTGTTAACACTCCAAGGTATTTCCAGTAGTAACAATATTCTATCTACTAGACCATGGATTATTTCAAAACCAGCTGATTTATTAGCGTATACCGCGCATAAACGACGATTATTACGCGCACCAACTTCTGCCTTATCGTCTCGTAATACAACATCAGAAACTTCAAACAATTTATGAGGCAATGGTACCTTCTTATTCGCAGATATCGTTTTAAGTAATCCTGGTAACAGTGAAGTACGTGCAACCTGCAACAATTTTTTCATTGAAATATTTTGAATTTTAATTTTACAAAACTTGAAAAATTTTTATTAATTATATTAATATATTAATTATATTTTTATATCAATTATATTAATTATATATTTTTTATATCAATTTCTTTTAGTCAACTTTTTTATATCTTTAAATTTCTATTTTCAAATAAATTAAATCTTTAATAATTTATCTGATTTTTTTTCATTGCTCTTCTTTGTTATTTCTATATAACTTTGTCAACATAAAACAAAAATGTCAAGCAAATATCATCACTTTTTAATTAAATTAATCGCGCATTCAAAAAATGTTTCATATTACATGTATATGTTAAATTAATAAATAGAATGAAGACTTGTAATAACAATATAGAAACTCAAATTATAAATTAATGTACCTGGAACTCCAAAGTTTTCGGATTAGATATATGAACTGCTGGTACATCTTCTATTTTATGACCCAATTTATCTGCTACATCTTCACGTGAACACTATAAAAAATATAATTAATTAATAAATTAACAAAATATAATTAAATAATAATTAATATAATATTATAATATATTATTTAAATATAATAAATAATAATATAATGTATTATAAATATAATAAATAATAATACAATAAATGATAAATAATAATATAATAACAAATAATAAATAATTCAAATATGTAGAATTGAAGATAAAATTCATTCAATATAAGATTTTTTTTTTAATATACCAGAGAAAAGTTAGCGCCTCGGTAAATCCTGCCTGTGCTAATTCTATTCGTATCTGATCAGTAAGTTTGTTGAGTGGAAACTGAAATTTAAATATACATTGTACATATAACATATACACACATTAATATATTAAATTGTTTAATTAAAAAAGATAACTTAAATTTACCTCTGCTGCAATTGTTGACATATGTGGTATAGTTTTTTTTATCTCGTTATATCCATAAGCAATGGCAATATCTTCATAAATGTCGCAAGGATGTATCACATCGTGCCTCGTGGGTGGTATTTCGACCACTAAGTTATCATTCTTTACCTTAGATTTTAATGACATCTTTGACAATAACTGTGCAACCTGTTCTGGTGTCTGTCTATATAACAGAAAATCATATTTATTTTATTTCACGTTTTATATAACTAATCTAATTTATTATTAATATATATTATAGATATTTAATATATATATATATATATATATATATATATATATATATATATTAACACGCACGCACGCACGCACGCACGCACACATATATATATATATATATAATATACATATAATAAAAATAATTGTATTACTTACTTAATACCGACACAACTTGTCGCTTTATTACAGTCAATCACTTCCGTTCGATACTTCAAGCTTGGATAATGAAAAGTTTGATTATCAGGATACACTACTTCTACTGTTTCAGCAGTATACTTTTTGTTGCAATACTGACTAAAAGCACAGACTATAGTGTCCACCACAATTCTCGCCTAAAAATTCTTTGTTTTATATATGAACACATACATATATATACAAAAAAAATTTATAAAAATATAAATATTAAATATTTGTAAAAAATTGTGTTTTATAAAAACATAAATAACTAATATTAATATTTATTAATTTAATACACACGTATATTAAAAATTTGAAATTTTTAAAAAAAATATGTATATATAATAAATAAATATATATATATATATATATATATATATAAAATATTAAATACTTGTATTTTTATAAATTAAATTTTTTAAATATTATTTCAAAATAAAAATACATTATGATTAGAAATAATAATATTATGCATATAGATATACCTTTGTAAGATCGGTTGCAGTGCATTCAATAAAAATATTTTTTGTATTAACTGTTATTTTTGAATGATCTCCATTAATTATAGGAGGAAGAGATAAAACAACTCCATTGCTGTCATATATTACGGGATAAACAGGACTGTCCTTTATGATAGGCAAATATTGTTTGAGTTGCGCATGTGTCTGTAATGTGTTATAAATTATATATATGACTATAAATATTTATTAGTTTTTATGTACATATATAAAATTAATAAATACTTACTGCATATAATTGCATGATGCCTTCACCTGTATATTCCTTATTCTGATTAAGTGGTTTGAAATGTATCTTCGATGGTGGTTTGGCATCATACAAAAATGGACCTTTGATTGTATCTAAATCATGAGTACCGACAGAAACTAGAGTACGTTTTCTACCTATATTTTGGTGCAACTTGTCTTGAAGATCAATAAAGCTATTGTAAGAATCTTGTGTCAAAGTAACATTGCGTAGAATTGCTGCGACTAGGTGGCCTCTTACTTTTAAGCACTAAAAGACATAATGGTTATTTAATATCAAACAGAATTCTAAATTTTCTACAAATATTTATACATACTTCTGGACGCATCACAATCCTTTCCATTCCTGTCTTTGGTGTTATTGCTTTATAATGCGGAATGGATATTCTATTTGCAAAAAAAAAAAAAAAAAAATTTATACATTAATTTTTTTAAATACAATAGATTTTATATATATAACAATACATTTTATATGTTAGTTTTAAATATAATATATTAGAAATAAATTCTATAAAAGCAAGAAAATGTGCAAATATAAAAATATTTATAAAAATGATAAAAAATTAAATTCTATATTACTTGTTTATAAAAATAAGTAGCCCAACACTTAAACTCTCCAAGCACAAAAGGTCATATCTATTAGCAGTATATCAATTTTGTAAATGATCTCTTCAGATGCATCTATATCTTGATTAACACCTTGTTCTTTTGCTATCATTTGTTTCTCTGTTGTCTGTACATAAATAATCAAATATAATTATTAAAATAAAAATTTAATTTAATTATATAAATTTAAAAATGAAGCCAACAGTTCAATACTTACCACCTCTCTCCAGTTCTAAACCAAATTTGAAACATAAATCTTGAAACTCATCATCCGCTGAAACAAAGATTTGCATTTGCGCTTTAATAAAATATATCCTTCCAATATGATAATTTTAATCCTTTTATATTTTATAGAAAAAATTATATTTATCTTACATTATAAGTAAAACAAAACAATAATTAATATTAATTTCTTTAATATAGTTATATTTTTACTTAGTATTAAATATATTATATATGTAATATATAAAAACAATCAATTTTATTTATTAATATTATTGCAATTAAAATTGTAATAAGATTTAAACAAAAGCAAATGTAATATAACATTTCTTTATTTTACACATTCAAATTTTTTTCTTCGATAATACAAAAATTACAACACTTACAATATGTCTTGCCCAATGTTTGAAATAATAAATCACGTTTTATTCCAATGGTCGGCATTTTTATTATATGGAAGCAATTTTTCGATGTAATCAAGCAAATTTCTAATGTCCTTATCGATTTTTTAAATATTTAAATATCAGATTATTTATTAATTTTTTTCTTTCTCAACTGTTCATTCAATTAATGATCTATTAATTAATGATCTGTATTTACAATCACCATCAACTTTTAGGTTAAGAATACTTGAGAATGAAGTCACTTTTATCAGGCGACATAGTGGAGACGCCTGTCGGCTGGCCGAGAATTACGGATTCTCTCATAAGATATTAGCCAAAATACTGAATGAATCTTATTGAATTTATGATATTCTTAATTAGTAGAATTGTCCGCAAGTCGCCAAAGATTTTATTTTTTGAAAAAAGATGAAATAAAATTTTATAATATAACTTGGAGAAACGCGCAGCTAGCAGCGGGTAAGGTTGGGTTAGCCGCGAGTCCGTATTTTATTTATTATAAATTTTTAAGAGCGAAAATGCAAAATCTGACGTTTTGGCGACTTACTTTAGTATATAAAGAATATATAAAAAATATTTCCACGAGGCTACGTGACTTCTTCGATGCAATATCTTATATGAACGAATCTCACTAAATTATATAAAGAACAACTCATGGGGAAATTTCCGTGGTAACATACTGACAGCTTACCAAAAAGAGAGTATCATTCTGTCTTTGTCTCTCTTGCATCTGAAAACTCGAGTTCAAGTCATCTGGTATAAAATTTTTTTTTAATATATTGGATATATAAAAATTATTTTAAAAATATATATTTTTAAAGACGATTCTTAAAAATTTTTAATATATTGAAAATACTTTCATAATTTTACAATTACAACACATATATATGTATATATATAAATGCAAAATAATTCCGTAATAATGAATCCAATATTTTCTATATTTTAAGAATTCTTTAGTTTTGTCTTTACAAAAAAAATATATTTTTAATAATTTTTATATATTTCAACATATTAAAAAAGAAAAAAATGTTGATACCGATAGATTTGAATCCGAGTTTTCACGGTGACAGACTGAACACCTTTGCACTCAGCCATTATGTACTTTTTTCATACTTATTTATATAGCAGATATTATTAATATCAATATAATTGAAAAGTAATTAATACATATTATTAGTCTATAAATTTACGACATATATATTCTACAACAGACTAGAATTGATAGTCGTTCTCTCCTTGTCTTCATTGCGCTGACGATATGTAAAGTTGCGATAAAAAAATATCAAAGTAAAAGAAGCAATCAATTGCCAAACCTAATAAGCGCCGTGTCTTACATTCTGTACATTAGTCCACTCTTCGAATTATTATTTTATTATTATTATGTATCACTGTACATTTAAAAACATACATGTAATTTTTGTGCATATATATACACACATATGTGCAAAGCATATATACAATTTCCAAAAAGTAGGTGCTTATTAGCCTTGCTACGCTACTGCCTTCTGCTACGGAAAACCAGAAAGCATTTTCTGGCCGTATCTCACGTATACCGGCACGGTAGAGGTATAAGTATAATCACAGATTAATAGACAGATCGCCAAAGGTCTGGATGAAGGAGAGACCAGCATTTCTCACTGATTTCAGCGCCATATCGTAGTAGTGGTCAATGCAGTAACTATTAATACGTTCCCAAGATAAGAGCGTCTCATGCTCATGAACTCGTCCGGCGGCATGTACGAGATTTATCTTTTCGTAGCGTTCGCGTATTTCGGAAAGGACAGAATTTTATGATGTTATAAATAAATAAATAAATAAAATATTAACCTGACCTATTATAATTATTTTTTAATAAATGTTTCATTATTATTATCATCTAAGTCTAAGTCGTTTAATTAATTTTTAGTTTTTTAATAATTAATTTAATTTATTCTAATCATTTTAATATGTGAAAATACTAATACGTATACGTTTTATAATGAATTAATATATTTCGAGAGTCGAATTATATATTTTTAATAATATAAAAGTGTTCAAAAATTATATTTGACTTTTAATTTTAATTATTTTAGCAAAGAGTTCCGAAATCTCTTACACACATAATAGAGATTTTGTTCATCCATATAATTCGCAATTAAGTATATATGTTAATTATTAATTTTAATAAAATACAAAATTAAAATTAAAGGTCAAATATAATTTTTGAACATAAATATATTTAATTCGTTATAAAACGTATACCCGTGATAGTATTTTTCTCGTACAAAAATAACTAGAACAAATTAAATTACTCATAAAAAAATTAAAAAATAATTAAATAATTTATATTATATATGATAATAATAAAACATTTTATAAAAAAAACAGATTCAATAAATATAAGTATATATATAACATGTACTTATATTTATTGAATCTGTTTTTTAATAAAATGTTTTATAAGCTTAGAAAACTTGACTTTGACGTAACTAGCAAATTTTATTTAATTATTTCACGACGGTTTGACGTAATAAAATGTTTTATTATTATTATATAAAATATAAGTTTAAATTCTTTAATTAATTTTTAATCTTTTATGATTAATTTAATTTACTCTAATTATTTTTGTACGAGAAAAATACTATCATGGGTATACGTTTTATAATTAATTTAATATATTTGTGTTTAAAAATTATATTTGACCTTTAATTTTAATTTTTATTTTATTAAAATTAATAATTAACATATATACTTAATTGCGAATTATATGGATGAAAAAAATCCCCATTATGTGTGTAAGAGATTTCGGAACTCTTTGCTATAAAATAATTAAAATTAAAAGTCAAATATAATTTTTGAACACTTTTATATTATTAAGAATATATAATTCGGTTCCCGAAATATATTAATTCATTATAAAACGTATACGTGATATTATTTTTCTCATATAAAAATGACTAGAATAAATTAAATTAATTATTAAAAAACTAAAAAGTAATTAAACGACTTAGACTTAGATGATAATAATAATGAAACATTTTATTAAAAAAAGATTCAATAACTAGTAGGTCAGGTTATAATTTTTTATTTATTTATTTATAACATTATGAGCTATTAAGCTCATCATCTCGTTCGCTCTCTGTCTTGCTTTCATTCGGCAAGTCACAAACGATATATGATACTCGTATGTTCCTACTTCAACTCTCGAGAATCTGAAACAAACGAAACTCGTGTCCAATATACAGGGTGTCCGGTAACTAACAGACCAATGATTACAAATGGATTCTTTGGTCAATTTGGGAACGATTTTTCCTCAGCGAAAATGTCGAAAAAGGTCATCATTTTTTACAACTTTCCAATCTTTGTCATTATGTATCTTTATAACTAAGCCTTAAATTAAAATTTTATTATAGTAAACTCTACCTGAAATTAACTGAAGAATGTAATTATGTTAGACTTTTAACTCCAAAACGTTTAGTTTTCAAAAAACCTATTTTTTTCAATCGCTTATAACTCGAAAATTATTGACTTCTCAACATTTTTGCTAAGGAAAAATCGTCTCCAAATTGGCCAGAGAATCCGCCCTTAATCATTGGTCCGTTAGTTACCGGACACCTTGTATATATTATATAAAAGTGTATAGCACGTCAGAAGCTTGTGAGCTTACAGCGATAAGTAAAAACAATTGCGTATTTATTTCATTGCGTTTATCTGTTTAAACGCGCGCTTTAATTTTTCCAACGTTTTTGCCTGTTTATATTTTAAAGGTCCTCTCTTCTAAAAATCTTGTTTTAAAGATCCTCTCCGCGAGCAAAATTCGAAAACATAAATTATTTAATATTTTTACTTTATTATTTGTAAATCCTCGGTAATTTCAAAATTTTTCTATTTGAAAATTATTAATTTTCTATTGCCAATTAATTTTATCACAGACTTTACTCTTACTCCCATTGCACTTTCGTTTGCGGTTTTCAGTATACGATTTTTTATCGTAGTTACTGAAAATTATTATTGTGAATTATACTTGTGCAGTGATTTGAAGAATTTACAATTTCGTTGAAATTGTTGATTTTTCAAAAAAATTACGAGATTCGCGGAAATTGCGTGCTTTCTTGGCATTTTCCGTTCGCGGCAGGCGGTTTATTTTTGATTGTTGCAAGTGTTTTTGTTTTTTTTTATTAAAATAGATAATAATAATGTGAAATAAATCACGATATTTGACAGATGTGCATATATATAGAAATTGTAATAATAATAATATTATATCATAAAATTGTAAATTGTTTCAATTTTTTATAGACTGCGATAAAAGATTTTACATTTGGATAAGAAACTGCGGTAAGTAAAAATATAAAATTCTTGAAAACGTAAAAATATTTGATAACGTAAAAAGGTGAACTTTGAAAAATAAGGAACTTAAAAATTGCACTAATAAATGGGCTATATATATGTGAGCCGTGCGCGGATGTAAGGTGTGTTATATCGAAATTTAATTAATAGAATTGAGAATTAATCCCAATTTTAAGTCTTACAAATGTCCAAGCTAATTTTTTGTACCTCGTGTACATTTTTGAAAGTTATATCGAAAAATTAAATTTCAATATGCGTCTTACATCTCACATTTCGCATACGGCTCACATATAGCCTATTTATCTCTTATACTTTATTTCAACCCTTATAGAAATTTATTACTAGTAACGCCAATTTATCACTTATTTCGAGTAATTAATCACTTTTATTTCGAATACTTAAATTACTGTATATTATAGTATTTTAAATACTCAAAATAAGTGATTAATTGGCGTAGTGATAAATTTCTACAAGAGAATAAGGAGCCTTTAAATTCTTAATGTAAAAAATTTCAAGTAATTTTCTTTAATAAAATTTAATTAAAAAATTTAATTAAAAAATTTTTGAACACTGTGTTATATCACATTTAAAATCGTGATTATTTCAATAAAAAAACATTTTATGTGTAAAAAATATATTTTTTATATTTAATAAATTTTATATATATATGCATATATGTAAAATATTCTCTCTCTCTCTCTCTCTCTCTCTCTCTCTCTCTCTCACACACACACACACACACACACACACACACACAACGGGGGCCAAATCTCTCAAATTGGTCTCATGATCAATTAGCCTGGATTCGCACCAGGGGCAAAGTCTGTTGGTAATGTCAAACGAATTTAGCCTGGACTTGCACCAGGGGCAAAGTCTTTTGGTCGAGTCTACGAAATTTAGCACGGACTCGAACCAGGGGCAAAGTCTTTTGGTTCAAGTCTACGAATTTAGCACGGACTCGAACCAGGGGCAAAGTGTGTCGGTAAGGGGCAAAGTCTATCGCACGAAGATGGCGGTCTCTTCTTTAGGCAGG